AGCAAAACACCACCAAAATCTCTTCATTGATCGTCTTATTGAAAGGAAAAGAGATGCAAACCGTTGATGGTTGGGTTGCCTCTCACCAAGCGCTTCTTTAACGTCGTGAGCCGAACGGTTTCTCTTCAAGTTTCGGTCCACCCAAGAACCTCCTTGAAGTTGAGGTTCTCGTCGGTGAGTTGATGTCTCAAGTCACGAGCATTGGATGAATCCATGATTGAGGGCTCGTGAAATTGAGTGGCTTTGAGGCTCCACCCACGAGACCTCTCCTTCTTTCCTTCTTCCTTTTGCTCTTTGCCCCACACCATGTAATGCATCATCGATTTAACACTATCGCATCCACCAAGAGGGATTGTCGATGGTTTGGCCTTGGCTTGGAAAAGAGCCGCAAATGGGTCCTTCTCCAAAAATGCATCGAGGTCGGGTGGAAAGCTTTGGTCGCACTTGTAACTTGTTGAAGCTTCATCCACCACGACCTCGTCTTCATCTTGGACCTCACTTGCTCCTTTTACTTCATCTTCAACCTCCCTTCCTTCTCTTCAATTTCCTCCCCTTGGGAACACTCGAGATCTTCCCCCTCTTCAATGCTCACTTCCTCCTCTTCAACCTCTTCTTTATCCATCCCATTCATGTCACCAAGCATGAATTTGAGGGCAAGATGCAATACAAGGTCATAGTAGGGATTATCTTGCTCCTCCACAATCGTGTCTTAGTCTTCAATGTTGCTTTCGGGAAGGGAAAGATGATGGGAGTTGTCAATGCGACCTTCTTGTTCATCCTCACCACGGCAACTCTCCGGGGTGAGTTCCTCTTGCTCCATACGGTTGTCATTGATCGCTCCTTCAATCTCTTCTTTCTCCTCCAATAATGAGAGGCGATAGCTTTCACAAGCTCGTGCCACTTTCTCCTCTAGTATCAAACCGGGAGGAGGGAGGGGTTGGAAATCCATGTCGAAGCTCATTCTTCCAAATGTCTCATGGCTTGCCTCTTCGACCTCCTCTCTTTCTTCCAATGGTAGGAGGCTATTGTGAGCAAGTTGTGCACATACTTGCTCAACAAGCCCTCCTAGCCTCTCCGTGCGTCGACGAAGCTCCTCTACCTCCCGAAGAAAGGTTGAGTCGATAGGGTTGGCGATTGGGAGGTCCTTGCTAGAGCACCCTTCATCGGTGCCCTGGGCGAATCGCTCCACCATGAGCTCTAATTTGCTCTTTGGCTCCGGTTGTGGAGTGGCACATGGTCTCGATGATTGTCCTATGAAAGCTTCCATGGCCAACTCCAACTTGGATTTCTCTTCGGGTTGTGGAGGGAAATCTTCTTGATATGGGGAAGCCTCTTCGTACCCCCAATGGTATGGTTGTTCTTCTTGGAAGGGAGGAGGGGGGGTTGGTAATAGAACCCCGATCCTTGGCTTCCCCCATCTTGTTCACTCCATGAAGCTCCGTGGTACCCCCATTTGGGTGGTTGTGGATACCCCCACATGTTGTAGAAGCCATTGGGATCCATGATTCAACCTACATAAACAAAAACACAAAAAGAAAATCAAACAAACACAAACCACCCTTCAAGACGAAGAGTGGGTAAACAAAACACACACGAAACACAAAACATAAACAAAAAGGCAAGATAGAAAATTCTTGATTGACACTAAGCGACCTTTTAAAAAAATGGACCGCGGTTCCCTGGCAACGGCGCCAAAAACTTGACTCGCACGAAACTACACCACAAATTAATCCCTACTAGAGACCCAAGTTTTTAAACTCTAGCAGTGTGCAGTATAGAGCAAGTATTTAAATTGTCAACCCAGGCCGGTCAATGTACCCCTACTTCAATCGCTTAAGTTGTTATCTAGCAAAACGGTTTTGGATTTTAAAAACTAAGAAAACTACAAACTAAACTAGCAAGGAAAAGTAAATAAAGGAAAAGTCTAACTAACGGAGCTTCACTCGGGAGTTGCTTCCCCCTAAATAGCTACCATGACTCGTTGGATTGAATGGAGTCGTGTGGCGTAGGTGGTTGTGAACCGCGGGGGTGAGCAACTAGTGATCAATCTATCACGGAATCAATTCACTAGCGATCGATTTGTCACGCGATCGATCCACTCACCAAGTCTAGGGAAACCACTAGGAGGAGCAAAAAGTGATCCATTTGTCACGGGATGGATTCACTAGAGGTCGATTTGTTGTGGGATCGATCCTCTCGCTCGGTCACTAGTGGTTGCCTATGTCTCTACCTCAAACCAGAGTTTGAGCGGCTTAATCACAACTAACCTAGATGCAAATTGGTAACCGCGAACCGCAGAGGGATGCATATGTGGTCGGAGACCACAATCTCAATTGCTAAACCGAGGTAAGCATGAAAGGCTGTGTCACTCGACCCTCTCGGTTTAGACAATCAGTAGTTGACTTACTCCCTCACTCAACTCTAAGGTCGGACGACTTAATCGCGATTAATCGAATTGCTTAACTCAATATTGAGGGTTGCCCTAACTTAACCTAGTTTAGATGGCTTAGAAAGCGGAAGGAAAACCAACTCGATTGAGTCTCCCTTGGAAGGGGGATTTTCCTCTCTAAGCTAGGCTAAGGTGGCTAATTAGATTGTTAGCACCAACATGCACAAACCTAAGGGTGCTAAGCACAATTATGCACAACCCTTAGATTGCAAAGCACGAGCATACACATCACCGTGAAAACACCTCTAATACTCAAATTGATGCAAACCCACACTTAATCATTCAATCTATACAAGTAATTACAAAGTATTAGTTAGGGATCTACAACACCCAAGAGAAAAGAGTGAGTTTCTAGAGAGAGAGAGAGAGAGAGAGAGGGATTACAAATTTGAGCTCAAGATCTTCTTATTCTTCTTCTAGGCTTGAATCTTCCACCCAAGCCTCCAATGATGCTCCAAGATCACTATAGCACTCTCTCTCTCTCTCTCTCTCTCACTAGAACTCCCCTTTGGTGTTTAGGTTGAAACTCTAGGGAAAGAAAGTGTTTCTTCTCCAAAATCCAGCTCTCCTCTCTCTCTCTCCCCGTTGCTGTCTTCATATTTGCCCGAATGTGATTAGTTCACGGACGCGTTGGCCAGTTCACGGCCGTGAACACCTAAACGCGTCCGTGAACTCACCGTTTTCCGAAACGAACCACTTCACTGTCCGTGAACTCACCTCGTTGGACTGCTCGATGTTCACGGTCGAAGGAGACCGTGAGCTGCCTTGTCCGGCCGTGAAGTGCGGTTGTTTCCTGGACGCCTTGACTTCACTGTTACGAGGCAATTGTCACGGTCGCTACTTCAGACTTTTCTTCGGTTTTTGCTTTTTAACCTCCAATTATCCCAAAATTCGACCTCGACCCTTCCACACATGCTAGGACCTGAAATGTATCAAAACAAGCACACCCTAGTGTGAAATATGTCGAGGAACGATGAAATGCTAAGTAAACGAATAAGAAATGAGGGGTAAAATGTGTACATTTGAGCCCGAATCAGTCATAACAATTCAAGGGTAGGTATTAAATTTGCTTAAGCTACACCTAACACCACTATTATATTTTTTATTTATTTGATGGGCTAAAGGGAAATTAATGAAGTTGTCGTCGATAAATGGAAGGAAGGCCATAAATTAAATTTTAGGATTTTCTGCAGAAATAAACATGGGGTATGTCTATGGTGACTTGCAAGTCACCATAACTTGGAAAAAACGGTCGACCTCCTCTATTAAGTGATCGCCCACACCAAGAAAATGGTCTACTGCTTCCACCAAGTGGCCGACCTAATGGTACACTTACCTTCAAGTGGTCGACCACTTGATGGAATAGGTCGACCAGTTGAAGACTTTTCAAGAAAATGGTTTACCATTTACACCAAGCGGTCTACCTTTTTTTGCATAGGTTGACCTGATGACACACTTATCTTCAACTTACGCTCGTTTGTTGGAGGAGGTAGACTGCTTCTGCCAAAACAGTATCCTGATTCGCAAAATGATTTACGTACATCTTTCGTGGATTCTTTCCTCTTTCTCTTGATTCTTGAATTACAATGGCTAAGTTGCTGATTTATCATAGTTTTCCCTTAAATCAGCAGCTTTCCCTTTCTTAGCACGTGCAGTCTTACACTCTTATTTTGCTCTCGTAGTGTTAAGTTCATAACAACATGAAATCGGTGAAACTCTAGGGGCAACAAATCTATGGGACCCACAAACTTTGAAGGTCAAAATTCGTGGGCTCATAGACTTGAAAATCCTACTATTTTTTTTAAATCCTACTTTTTTAAGTGGGAATTGATCGGGGGCTTCAAAGTTCATGATTTGTCATCAACTTACCTCTCCTATTTCCTTTCTCTTCTCATACCAACGAGCGCAGTAAATGTCAATTCCACTTCATATATACAAATCTAATTAACAAAATCTATCACGAAATCTATGAAACAAAATAATGATGTTTTTCAAGTCTATAACCTAAAATTCTTTTATATCCATAATTTTTTTAAAGTCAAATTTTACCAAAACCTTAATTTTCAAATCCACAAAATAAACCACCCACAAAAAGGCATATGCACGCGAAGACAGAACAAAGTATGGTTCGTTGAGTTGAGTTTCATGTAATATATGATGATTGATGAATGCTCTGCGCGTATTTTACACGCCTGTCACCTAACCTACCTTTATTCTTCTCCATCATGAACCAACCACCACCGTCGGATCCTCTATCCCAAAACTGCGACCGTAACGACAATTCAAAAATCAATCACAGCCGTACAAAAATCGCATCCAGCGACCGGGGACTCCCTTCTATCATAAAACTCACGTGGTACGATCCACTGGACCCCACACATCCCTTTTATTTTCCTTTTTCTCTCCTGAAAATGAAAAATAAAAGATAAAATTTACCATTTTCCTCGCCGGAAACTAAAAAGAAAGAGAAGAGACACCCGGCCCGACCGAAGCCGATCAGTATTAGGAAAAAATAATATAAATAAAATTCCCTCAAAACCCTCCAACAAAGCCCAAACCCAAAAAAACCTCTCGAATAATTTTTTTTTTTATATATAAAGCCAACCCTTTCGCCCGATCTCCAACTCTCTCCCTCTCTCTTCTTTTTGAGGGGTCTCTCTCTCTGCCAATTCCGCCGTCGCGGCCGCAGCTCCCGTACTCCACCAGCGATTCCCTTCTGCGCCGGCGGTTCTGTGTCCCTCGTATCGTCACCACGTTTTCCGCCTCCAGCTCTCTCTCCGTGGGTGGGGAGGAATAAGAAACCCTGATTTGATTGTTTCAGCTCCTCGGAGGTATGTTCTCTGCCGTCCGCTCTTGTTTCCTTTCTGACTGTCTTTTCCTGATTTTCGGTTTGATTTGGTAGAGTCTTTATATTCTTAGGTTAGTTAGTGAAAGGTATTTAGCCGGTGATTGTGGAATCGAGTTCCGATTGGGTCGTCGGAAAGTATTGTGATTCTTTTATTTAATTTTCAAGATTTATTTGTTGTTTTTGCTAGATCTGGTAGCTGTTTCGGCTCTGAGATTGATGTGATCATTTTATATTATTGTTTTGATCTTTATTTATATCGTTTGTGTTTTTTTTCTTTCTTTTTTGAGCTGATTTATTATACATCTTAGTTTATGGTTTTACGAAGCTTAATTGCTGTTTTGATAAGTGTTACTGATACTAATCAAGGACATATAAACTAAGCTGAAGAATACTAGTTCCTGGTAGGTTTTTTATTTTGGTAGTTACTGTACGGGAGTCGAGCTGGTCCTGCTTGGAAAGTGGTATTTGGGTTTTTTATGCCGTGCTTGATCTTTTAGTTAGTCTTGAATGGCTGTTTGTTTACTTTTGAGCATGAGAGTAAATGCACTACCACAAGTCCTCTACTGCTAGCGATGATGAAAAGATTCTTGCTTCTTTCACTTCTGATTCTTATATTGTGTTTGGTTTACAGCAGAGATGACAATGCACGGTGAAGATCATGTTCCCTCTCCCACTGCTCAGTTGGTTGGGAATGCTTTTGTTGAGCAGTACTACAACATGCTGTCGAAATCACCAGATGTGGTTCATAAGTTTTATCAGGACTCCAGTGTCATGAGCAGGCCGGTTGCTGATGGCCTGATGTCGTCTGTCTCAACTATGGCTGTAAGTTTATCAAAGAGTTCGCTGCTCGTCATGTATCATTTCTGGTGCTTTCAATTTTTTCCTGTCTCATTCAACTAGGAGGTAACTCTTGCATAGGTTCATCTGAATGATTGTGTTTTTACCTATTGCAGCTTAGTGATGCTGCCTCTTTTGCAAAGAAAGCAGTGACCTTTAGTTGGATTTATATATGTTGTGACCTAATTAGTGCTTGTTTCCTCTGGTTCATATTCTAAATATCTTGATCCTTGCTGGGTATTCTTGTTTTGTCTGTACAGAAAGTACTTTGCTTGACATTTTCTTAGTACAGTTTTTTAAGTTTTCTTCCTTGTACCCGGATTTGGTTTATTGCTTTCTTGCTTCCGTATCCTTCTTTTGCTTAATAATGATATTGTTCTTGCAGGGGATTAATCAGATGATCCTTTCTCTGGAGTACAAAGACTGCGAAGTTCAGATACTGACAGCTGATTCTCAGAAATCATTTGGGGATGGAGTCATTGTTCTTGTGACTGGTTTCCTCACTGCAAAGGACGGGCTGAAGCGAAAATTCACCCAATTATTCTTTTTGGCTCCACAAGATACTGCTGGATTCTTCGTCTTGAACGATGTTCTGAGGTATGTGGATGAGGAAGAATTCCCAGCAGTGAAGGGATCTGATGCTGCTGCCGATACTGCCCCTGTCGCTGCTCCTGAACCCGGTTAGCTCTGAATACTGGTTTCTTAAGATTGAACTTTCGTAGGGCAATGTGCTTACTAATAAAACTTGATCTTTGCTGTCTGATTTTGTAGAGGCAACTCCTTTCAGCAATCATGTGGTGGTAGAGCAAGATGCTACTACTGTTGCTGCTGAAGATACCATCCAAGCCAATAATGAAGTTAGCCTTCAGCTGGACAATGGTGACGTTGCTATTGCTGAGAAAGATTACGTACCAAATCATATAGCTGAGGCGGCAGAAGTTGATGCTGCTATTCCAAAGGCAGAAGTTGCACCCGAGGAAGAAAATCATCACCAGCGGTCTGACACAGTTGCTACCCCTATTGCTCTGGAGGATGCGCCCAAGAAGTCTTATGCTACAATTGTGCGTAATTCTCACATATAAAGCTCTTTTTTGTTTCTCATTTTTTTGGCCGAAACTATAACAGCCTTTATATTATCTGGTTGCTCACGTTTCTTCCCTCTGCATGTAGGCTAGCCAATTGAAGAACAAGCCCCATCCATTCCAGCAGAGGATTGCACCACCAAAACCTGTGGTCCATGCTCCTGTTGCTGCTGCAGCTACAGCACCAGCAGCTCCACCAACAGAAGCTTCTGCTCCTCGCCCTGCAAGAAACAACTCCGTTGAAAGGAGCAACAATTTCACAGGTTCTTAAAGTTTCCTTTTCTACCCTTGCTGGTATCCGAGCTCATTGTTTTGGTAAATTCTAATATATATTTGTCAATCTGTTCTGTCGCAGGAAAGGGTTACTCTATCTTTGTTGCCAATCTGCCCATGGATGCAACTCCTGATCAACTCTACGAGATTTTCCAGAAATTCGGGCCCATCAAGCAAGGTGGTGTCCAAGTCAGAAGCTACAAGGTCTTTGGTTTGATATATATTTTACAGCACTCGGTAGTTTCTCTTACTTGGTTGCTCTGTATGAACAATCCTGACATGGTTTGTATCTTCAAAATCTTAATTTCCAGCAAGAGAGGAACTGTTTTGGGTTTGTGGATTTTGAATCAGCTAGCTCCATGGAGAAAGCCCTTGAGGTACTGTTATCGCCGTTTACTGATTCTTACTTGATTTTACTTTGCATCCTTTCATACTTATTCTGACTGGTTATTACTATAGGCTGCACACATCATGATTGGCAACCGGGAAGCGCATATCGAGAAGAAGAAAGGTATTTTGCTACCCTAATTACCTTTCATGACAATCTTAAAGTCAGCAATATTCAATCCCTTGGTCACGTGGATGTTAACCTATCTCTCTTTATTTCCTTGTGCAGCTGCTGGGGAAGGCGGGAAGTTCACTCCGAGAAGGGGTGGTTTCAGGAACGATGGCTTCAGGGGCCGCGGAGGGAGCTTTGTTGGAGGGCGTGGTGGAGGCTATGGGAAGGGTGAGTTTGAGAACCAGCAGGGCGGTGGCAATTTCCCAGGTCAGGCGAGAGGTGGTGGTGGACGCAACGGCGAGGTGAAAGTTTATCAGAACGGAGGTGGGAGAGGATCCCGTCAAGCTAGGCCAGCGCCACCAGCAGCGGTCGCTGCCCCCGCCGCCGTCGAAGGTGGAAAGAATTAGACCTTTCAGGTGGTTGGTTTTCGTTCCTTGCTCAAATTTTGTTTACTCTTTTTTTTTTCCGTTAATTTGTGTTATTTTTTTTTTGGCCTCTCCTTACATTATTATAGGGAAAACCATTATTAGAAGACTTGACTTGCGGCATTTTGTAGGGTAGTTTGGTTTACTTTGTTAAAATAGAGGTCTTTGTTACTTTGTGTCTGGAATTAGCGTTTGGCTGTTTGGTAGGGGTTGGGTTCTCTTTTCTTAAATTTTTTTTTTTGTGGCTGAAGTTATAAGGTCATTCATCTCAACTTTGAATGTGGAATCGTTTCATTGCAAAGCCAAGGTGAGGAAACTCCTTTTAAGGGTAGTTATCATAAACAGTCACAAATCTATTTATTTTGTACAAAACGGTAATAATCCTTTAATTTTGTGCCTTTCGGTAATAAAGGTTTGAGCGAATATCAAAATAGTAAATTCGTCCAATTCTCTCCAAAACTTCGTCCGAGATTGCTCTGTCAGCATGACATGTCAGTGTAAATAATAATAAAAAATGGCTAATCAACCCACTTAACCTGACAATCCAACCGGCCAAATTAAACCTTTTACCCGTCCAGTCTCGAATTGGACTATTACCCCAAATCGGGCTGCGTGGGAGAAAGCTAGAAAGCACGTCGCGAGGAGAGGGGGAGAATGGCGATTCTCCTGCTGTCAACAACCAGACTTCCTCCAATCGATTCGTCAGCCATCCTCTTCCTGGCCGACACTCCTCCAATTGATTCATCTGTCATCCTCGCTGGCGCTCCTCTAACCAATATTTTCGCCGGCTGAGCTGGGGGAGGTGGGGGCGACGCATCTTCTATTCCCCTGGGCTCTGCATAGAATCCAGCAACTTTACCTGATTCCACGCCACTTCTATTCCTTGATACTCATCAGTCATCAAACGCCTTGTAACTGGAAAATGAGTAATAGCAACGAGAATTAAGAACTATGAGACATTGAAACGGGTAGAAAGTAAGCAGAGCTTAGTTGTCTTCAAACGATTCATTTACACTGTCTTGGATGCTTCTTTCCCCATAATTTCATTATACTGCAACACACAGAGAAGAAGGAAAAAGCCATAAATTGCTGAGAAAAAAGAATGTATGAGAGAAATCGGTGAATTGGGTTTAGGGCTGCAAATGAGCCAAGCTACTCGCGAGCAACTCGATGCTTGAATCGGGAAAAACTCGTTCGAAACCCAATTCGTTTACTAACGAGCCAAGCTTGAGCCTAGCTATGTTCAGCTCGTGAAGCTCGCGAGCTAGCTCGACTCGGTAGCTTGTTGAGCTCAACTCGTGAGTTGGCTCATTTAGAGCTCATAAGATGTCTCAACATTGTGGTTTGAGGGCCAACTTGATCACTGACTTATGGACTAATCGATCTAATTTGGACTTTCATAATTCATAGGATTGTTAAATTATATATCTCACATCATGTGAAGTTTAACATGTTGAACATGTAAGAAAATATGCCTTATTTTTAATTCTATAAAGAAATTATGTACAAAATTGTTTCGATATTATGAAATAACATTATTTGAACTAGTTAAAATTTATTAACTAAACAATATGACACCTAAAAATTATAATATAAGATTAATTAATGTTGAACATTTGATTATTTTTTTATCGCTACATCAATCACATGTACCATACACGACATACAAAATGAATGTATTAAATACGATCTAAGAATTTAGTAAACAAGCCTAGCTCGAACTCAACTCGACTCGGCTCGTCAATAAATGGCTTGGGCTCGAGCTCAGCTCATTTGTTAACGAGTCCAGCTCAACTTGGGGTAAAACTCGGCTCGGCTCATTTGCAGCCCTTTGGGTTAGTTTGGCTAGTTACTCTGCCATATCTGCCAGTGGGATCGAGTTCCACGAACTCAGTATGAGGATCCGAGGATTCAAATTGCAGCCTTGATGGACTCGACATTAGTGCTCCTGGGGTTTCAGATTGGAGCCTTGATGGACTCGGCATTGCAACAAAGAAAGAAAGCGTGGAAAAAGGCCTGCTGCTTTCAACTCTCAAACATGGAATAATAACACTCTGTTTCCGAAGGGAGGGAGGAAAATGGAGATAAAGGAAAGTTTGGAGGGGAGAGAAATGGAGAGAAAGGAAAATGTTGTTTTATAGAGGAAAGTGAAAGGAAAAGTGAGAGTGAAGATATGTATTGGAAAGTGTGATAGATATGTTATTTTATTGGTTATGTAATAGTAAATAATTAAATTATGATTGATGGATTAAATTTATTTTTCATGCTAATTTGGTTCTTTATTAAACAAAAGTTCCCTTGATTTAAAATCTGATCATTTTAATTATATTAAAAATTCTCATTAAAATTGGATTACCTTTGCTGGTTATATGGTATTACTCATATGTTAGATGAGATTTGATATAATATTATAAATGTAAGAACAATATAATGACATTTTTCATATATCTGGACTAAAACAGCCGAATTGTTAATCCTCAACCCACTTGCTCGACTGGACTAACGAGCTAAATAGGGTTGACAACCTTGTGTCACGTAACAGTATTACGTATCGCGTAAACAATATCATATGTATAAGTATAAATAGATATAAAATCAATTGTACTCCGTTCAAACCGTACCAATTACAAAATCAATGTAAAAGTATAATTATCCTTGCCATATAATTACTCACCATAATCATTTGTTTTTATATTTATGCTTAACAATAAGTGATAAGTTACCATTTATAACAAAATATATATGTTTAACTATATATCATACGTAAAGCAAAACAAAGAAAAAAAAAGACCCACCATAGAGAGCTTTCTCTCCAAATTGGGGTAGGGTTCTACAGGAACCTTTCCCTTTCCATTTCCATTCCCTCCACCCATTCCCTCCTTTAAGAACAAGAGAAAAGTCCTCGTTATTTGCGCTTTCTTCCATTTCTTTCCCTCCCCTTCACTTTCCGCCCTTTATGAACATAGTGTAAAAGAACGCAACAAAAGGAGACGGCGTTTTGTTATATCAGTGGCGGACCCAGGATTTTGAGATAGGTGAGTTAACCAATAAAATATAATTAATTAATTAAAAATAAACTGACATATTTTATTCATAAATTTCACCAATTTCATTATTTCTTGCCGTGAACCACGACGATTTTTTCATAAACAATTATTTTGTCCATTAGATTGCAAATCAAATATTTTTTATGTACAAAATTTAACAATTATTCATAAACTGGTCACTCAACTTATACCAAAGATTGTTCTCGATTAAACTCATATATGAAAAATGACATTTTGTAGCTTGCAGTTGCAAGAGGTAAAGTCAATACTAGTTTAAGATGATAAATTTGGTATGAGAATCTCGAAGGGTGGCCACATGTGTCAACGTGAAAATTTGAATGAGCATGAGGATGTCGTTGGCTCGATGCCGATAATTGAAGGGTGGCTATAGACGTCAACGTGGAAAGAAATAACTAAACTAGAAAGCAAGTTGAAAATTAACTTAAAAAGAAAAATCTATGGAAGAAGTTTTGGAGAAAGACAGTATGGAATTCACTATCTAATTATTTGACTCAACCAACTTGTTAATCAAATTTAATTCTCATTCAAATAATCGATGTTGTCTCTAAGGTGATAGCTATCTTTTTTAAATACTCACTACATACTAAGTAGTCAATTAATTGTGTACTCTTGTGCAACCAACTAATTAACTACCTAATCTGAAGTTCGATAAGTTCTATATTACATATTTTAATAACATTATGACAATAATTTTTTTTAATGTAATAAGGTGTGTCGGTTACAATTATTGGAGGTGTCGGAGTCCCATATTCGTATTTTTTACACCGAAATTTGTGGGTTCTTCACAAAAATTTCGAACCAAGGTGTGTCGGGTGTCACACCTTGATCAAAGGTGGGTCCGCCCCTGTGTCACCCCTCCCTGTAAATGGCATCAGTACATTGGTCGGTTCTCAGCAGAGGCAACAAGGGACACAATCTCTGCCTGCCCTCCTTCCTGCCTGCGCCTGTGATATTTATTAATACTATACCATAAATATATGCATATACCATAGTCTCAAGTTCTGTTCTCTAGTCTCTACCATTTCTTGTTTCCATGGAGGAGGAATCCCTAAGGTAAAGTCCTAGACTATTTCTTGCTTCCATGGAGCTGGGACTATTAGGCGACAGAAGATGAATCGCCCCCACCTTTCGCAGTTCAGCCAGCGAACGAATTGGTTGGAGGAGCGCCGGAGAGGAGGAGGATGGCGGATGCATCAGTTGGAGGAGGTTTGGTTGCCGACGGAAGGAGAATCGCCAGTCTCCCCCTCTCCTTGCGACTTTCGTTCTAGCTTTCTCCCACAAAGCTCGATTTGGGGGTAATAGTCCAATTCAGGACTGAATGGGTAAAGGGTTTAATCTGGCCGGTTGGATTGCCCGGTTAAGTGGGTTGATAAGTCATTTTTTATTATTTATATTGACGTATCATGCTGACGGGGGCGATCTGGGACGAAGTTTTGGATGGAATTGGACGGATTTACTATTTTGTTATTTGCCCAAATCTTTATTATCGAAACGTGCAAAATTAAAGGATTATGACCGTTTTGCTCAAAGTGAAAAGGTTTGTGACCATTTATGATAACTATCCTATATTTTTATCTATCTAATTACACTGAAATGATTATGACCGTTTTGCACAAAATGAAAAGATTTGTTACCATTTATGATAACTACCCTATATTTTTATCTAGCTAATTACACTAGCTTTTATCCAACCCGTTAGTTGGAAGAATTTATCTTATTATTTTTCATTACTTCATAATAATCAATTCATTCATATTTCAAAGGACTTTGAGGCATTGTCACTAGTAAATTAAGAATCAAAAGTAATCTTTGTACTACTTAATAATTGTGGCATTGGTAATAATTACTTAATTAGTTCATATGTATTTTCTTCATCCGATTATCTTAATAACTACTTTTTCTCTATATATATGGTTCAGGCTAGTGTACGTCAAACGTACATTATACGTTTGTCGTGTTTTACTATTTAGAGTATGAATTAACCAGAGTTTGTGGCATGATACTATACCCTAACATCTAATGAGTGAACTCCAGTCCCTAATTTATGGTTGAGGCTAGCGTACGTCAGATGTACATTATACGTCCGTCGTGTTTTACAATTTAGTTAACCGGAGTTTGGGGCATGATACTATACCCTAACATCTAATGAGTGAACTCTAGTCCCTAATTTTCTAACCCAAGTCATAAGATTCATTTAATCTAAAAACAAACCGACAGTTCTGATTCAGCGAAATATATTGAAGTGCAAAAACCAAGTGTGAACACATGCATACAACATACTCCTGACGTACGCTAGCTTTTGCCATATATATATGGGTGAGTTCTACGAACCCAGGGTGAAATTCAGTGTACCGCATACCTTGAGTAGGAAAACGCTATCCAGACCTTGAATTGACTTATCTTTCGAAAAGATAAAAAAATTAAGTCTTAATTCTCTAAATCTTATACGCCAAGATCAATTTAATTAGAAATAATAATCGATAGTTATGATTCGTCTCAATATAGGCAAAAATGAATGCACCATCTTAGGGTTTATAGTTTATAATTGAGATGATTAGGACCTAGGGTTCACTCATTAAGGGTTAGGAAATAGTATCAGGCCCAAAAATCCTGTTAATTCGATGTGTAGATAGCGTTTTCATACTCAAGGTATGCAATACCTTAGAATTCACCCGGGGTACCTTAGAAGCCACCACACACACACACACACACACATATGGTGGCGCTTCGATGCACCCACTTTTTTGGGTGCATTCAATGCACTCGCCTCATAATCGTCATTCCGAGCATGTGGTTCATGTCAAAAAACGATATTGATAGTTTCTTATGAAATTATGAACAAGAAACACATAAATTTAAGTTAATTAGAACAAATTTTCTAAAATTCCAAGTTGTCAATTTAACAAAAAATGTCACGTCAACGTATTTTGCTAATATAGTTAGCATAGGTACGTCGGTGTTGTTCAATTTAACATATTTCATGATAGAATGACTATATTTGTAGTAAAACTAATTTCAATTTAACATATTACAAAAGTCAAAGTTTTGGTTATGCATATGTCTAAACTAAACCACACATACACTTCAATATTTTGTCTAAGAATAAGATACCACTAACTTCAAATAAAATATAAAATATCAAATACCGAATATGTCTCTAGTTTTTTATTAAAGAAATTGGAACAAGTACGATGTAGTCTAGTTGGTTATAAAAGTAATTTACGTTGGAGCAAATTTGATGGTGGTCTTGGTTTTCGAAGATTTGAGGACTTTAATCAAACTTTGTTGGCGAAAGTTGTCTGATAGATTTGGATGGAGCCGGAATCGCTCCTTTTGCGGGTGTTCAAGGGTTAAGTATTTCCCCCATGACACTGTACTTTCTGCTCATTCTCGATCACGACCCTTTTGTGGTTGGGTACGTATTCTTCATAGGAGGGATTTGTTGCTACAAGGACTATTTTGGCAGCTTGGGATTGGGGAGGACGTGCAAATTTTTGAACCATGGCTGGATCCTGAGGCGCCGAATCTTGTAAGTAAGAAGGTGGTCGATCTTTTGAAGGGTTATGCGGCCGAATGGTGTTGGGACTATCTGCGACAATGTTTTCCCCAGTAGGTTGTCAACGATGTATGTATCATCCCGTTGCCGCGTTTGCCGATGCCGGATAAATTGGTGTGGGGAGAGGAGTAGTCGGGGCTGTACTCGGTTAAATGAGGGTATCATTTGACGATTTGCCTCAACAAGGGACAGAAAGGTTGGAAGGAGGAGGTCTCTTTTTTTATGTGGCTTTCTGGAAGAAGGTTTGGGGGTTCCATATTCCACCGAAGCTTAAGTTATTTATATGACAGATTCTGCGGCGGATTCTGCCTACAATGGAGGCGATTATTGAGATAGGTGGGAATTGTGATCCGAGTGTCCGGTGTGCTGGGACGAGTTAGAAACCATGGAGCACTTGTTTGTCGTGTGGCAGTGGCTTTATGGGAGAGTTGGGGATTAGCTCTTCCTGAAAGTGCGGATCGCTTTGACAATTTTGCACTTTTTCCTGTGCTTTATTGAGAGGGATGAGAGTATGGAGCGGATTGTTCGGTTGGTGGCATTATTATGACGCATATGGAAATCACGCAATTGGGCGGCTTTTGATCATTTCCAGTATGAGGTTCGTGTTCTTTTGAGGCAATATGAAGAACAAGTCCGTGAATGGTTGCTGCTGCCTAGGGAACCACCTCTGCCAGCTAGTGGGGTGACCACGGGCTCATTGGCCGGTAGGAAGCTTCTTTGCCCATTCAGTGCTTCGTGGATGGGGCCATAATGCGTGGGTCGCATGCTTCTGGTGGTATGGTCGTTTTTTATGCATCGAATAATATTTTGTGTGCAAATGGTTTTTCGTATGCATGTTTGCAGGATCCTTTCTTGGTGGAGTTGGTGGCGTTCCAGGATGATGTGCAGTGGTGCTCTTTGAGGGGTTTCATTGCGGTCACTTTCAAGGGAGATGTGAAGAACTTCATTGACAAGATTAGAGAGGTGGATTCTTGAGGAGATTCGCATGCTTCGTCGTCAGTATCGAGCTTCTAAGACGGTGTTTGTAGGCAGGAGTAATAATCGGGTGGCCCATGATGTGTCCGGGAAGGCCCTTTCCTTGTTTCCTGCGAGTGTTGATAGTTTTGATTTTAGACATTGGCTTTAATTTGGTGTGTAGACATTGATATCTATGTTTTCTTGGTAATGCAAGTGAGCTATTGACATAATAATAATAATAATAATAATAATAATAATAATAATAATAATAATAATGCTCTTACTTCATCGAGTGACCTGCTGCTCAACCAAGGTTGTTAACCCACTGGTCGACCCGATTTGATCCGAACCCGGTGAAGAAAACAGGCACCACGTATAACAGGCCGAGTCACAGTAAGGTGTCCGGGTTGGAGGTATCACGATGTCATTTTTTCCTTTGCATTGCGAAATGCTCATCTTTATGGTTTTCTCCTTCGCCTAACCCTAAATTTGGAATTCTAAGTTGAACATTTGAATATTGATGTTATATGAGATGTTTAAATTTTCATTATATGTTGGATCATATAACGAATATAATTTTTTGTGTAATGTTATATATTATTATAGATATGTTAGAATAGATTTGACATAATTTATAAATTTATGAACAATATAATAAATTTTATCAGATATTTGAGCGAACCCAAACTAAAACGATTGAAGCATTAACCCTCAACCCATTTTTTCAATCAGACCATGGTCTACCATTAGTCCGATCGATAAACATTTGTTAAGAACTCATAAAGGCTAGTATGTATTGATCAATCTCACGTCCATCATGGATTTCATAAGCTTAACTTGGATCATAATACGAAGTACTCCCCAAGTTGCAAAGTACCAAACTCGTCAAATTTGAACTGTTGCTGCCACTGTCGTGCAAGATACTGGCATGAAAATCAACCACAGTTTGTAACACAAACAGAACCCTCAAGAGGAAATGCATGTAGTTATGATAATTTCCCCAAAAGCAAGACATATATATTATAACTGAATAACTTAAACTTAGATTCATTTACAGTGGCAACATGACAAATTGAGCGAGTTGCAGGTTCACTACCCGATTCCCATACATCAACTTGGAAGCTAAATTGTCCTAGCCAGGCCATCTCCTATTTTGAAAAAACCTGTAGCAAAAAATGCACCACCATACAAGCACAAAAACTATAGTTCAAGTAACAGAAATCAGTTATCAAACTATAGTTCATGTACAAGTGAGTCAACAAACTACAGATACACAATCCAAAAACTAGAAGCCACTGAATCATGCTAAACATCAGTTATAAAACTATAATTTATGTGGCGCGTTTAAGAACCAGCAGCTAGTGTAATAGTTGGAACAAGAGAATAGCCAGCAAGAACTGTTAGGCTGTTACAGTCCTCAATGCAACAGCTAGACTCACAGGTTCTTCAAACATAGCAGATGAATCACCAGTTCTTATAGTTTTTCTGCTGCCACAACTTCTACTTCAAACTAACAAATGACAACTGAAATTTGAATAATCAAGGGGTCATAACTCACTACTCATATCTCTTTGAGAAGGCTGTAAATCACTCCAAATCGACTCATTTATTTTCCTGAAGACAAAATCAAAGGGAAAGCACATTGTAGACTACACACAAGTATAGAAAGGGTACAAGTACTCACTTCCCCTTAAAAGTATTTCTACCTTCAATCTTAAATTAATACATGTCCTCTAACTAGTTGTGGTACAAACTCACTTACCTTTTAGGGTACTTCCTAAACCTGACTTCTTAAGCCTGCAAAAGTAAGTTAATAAGTTAATCTATGACTGGATACGAAAAGCCGCAAGAAGGTAAGGCAAAAATATCACCACTTAAAATGTATCCTTATTTGTCCTAGTATATGCATGAGCATAATCAAAGCTCAATAGCTTGAGAGACTTGAGATGAAGACTTACACATCCATCCAAAATGACAGAGAAAACATGAAGTTTCACATTACAGTTCTTACCAAACGCCCAGAAAGGTAACACGCATTGAGGTCTTCAATCTTAACCACATACGACCCCCTCTTACAAGGAACGCTATCAGCCTCTTGTTTTAATCTACAGAGGCCCTGCTCCAAAATCAATAACGCAACATTCAGCAACTGAACAAATCTGAAATAGAAAAAAGAATTGAATGAATAACTTCATCCAATTCAAAGAGAAACCTTTGTTCCCTAAAAGCAAAGGCCTCCTTTCAACGATTTATACTGATCCCTTCAAGGTTCAGCTCAATTACATCCAACTTTACAGCATTAGACTTTATCCAATCGAGATTTTTTTTCAAATTACATATCTCTACTGCTCAAGAACCCTAAGTCTCAGACTAAAAGAGACCGTGCATCGTAGGATCCTTTTTATTTCGCCACTTCGGGTCGTTGAACTGCCAAAAATCCATGCCCTCTATTAGAACTACACTGGAGATGGAGAAAGCGGATTATTGAAGTACCTCGTCAGAGCATGCTTCCCCATTGATTTGTTTCGCGATGGAAGACGACATCAGATGTATATATCAGCGATCCAGCGAGCACCAGTAGTGCAGGAAAGAGATATACGAGAAGTAGTATCATGGAACATGAGGTCATTGGCAGTGGCGGACCCAGAATTTTTTTATAGGGGTGTCCTCTTTTAAAAAATAAATTAAAAAAATAAATAATTAATAAAAATAAAATAGTAAATATGAAAATACCTTACTCGTTAAAAAAATCCATGATGTGTTTTCATATTCGGAAATAATTGTAGAATACACTTGGTGTCTATAGTGTTTAAAAAAAATTGTCTCTATATACACTACTAGACAATCATTCACGAACTTATCATCGCATATTCGATTTGTAAACTTGTTCTTGATGTAACCCAAAGCTGAAACACTCTTTCAACATTTGCCGTACAATCATAAAATCAATACAAATTAAGGGTAGTTTGAAATTAGTTTAATTGTTAGGTTTTTAAAATAATTAGAGATAGGGAATGCCATTTTACTATTACACATTGTTCAAAACCGAACAACAAATGAGTTTAGCTCAATGGAAATTAAGTTTATTAATAATAATAGTGTTCTAGATTTAAATTATCCAACCTACCACTTATATTCCTATACACAAATGACACTATGATAATCATTTTTTTCAAATTTAAGGGGTGTCCCTCACTATCAATTATATTTTTTTTATCCATACGTAAATTACCACCGGGGTTGGATAATCGTTTTCCCAAAATTTAGGGGTGTCCGGGGACACCCCTAAACCTCCCTGGGTCCGCCCCTGGTCATTGGGGTTGTCATCATCGTCGGTAGTCTAAAAGATCTGACCAGGCGCTGTGCATCGTCTCTGATGGCGAAGTGAGGGAGGCAAGATTACATTCGAAAGTCGACAGATATGTTGTAGCTGAGCAAGAGATTCTTTAGCTACGGAGGCAAGCTAGAACTTGGGTCTTGATTTCGGAGAAGTGGAGGGATATGGAATTGTGAGCTAGGGATTTTTTATGAAGGAAAGTGATATGGGCCGGGAAGAGGCATTGAAAAGAGCAGGGCGATGGCGGAATTTGGGGTGAATCTGACTGGCTAAGAAAATGAGGTTTGTTTCCATTCTTTAGCTAAACAAACAAAAGGGAAAGTAGAAGAATGGAGAGAAGGGTTTTGGCACCAGGAGTTAGGGGTGGGCATTCGGTCGGTTTGGTTCAAACCATATCGAACACATGATTACCGACTTCCCGAAGTAGTGCATGGGTCAAACTGAACCAAACCGAATATATCTCGGTTCGGATCGGTTTTTCTTAGCCAGGGTGGCTGGAAAGTTTAAATCAGGGTGACATTTTTCTTTTTTAGCTATTAAGTATTGGGTAGATGTTGCATTTTAGATAGTGTGAGATCTACCAAAAACCCTTCTTTTACCCTATAAAACCCAGCATATCACGTATTATAGAATCAGATAACGCCTTTGCAGACTCAACACTCCCACCATACATCTGCACACAATGTTCCTTCCAAGTTTCACTCACCATAACACACTCCAGACCTTACCTTTCGGAGTTCCAGACACTCTCAAGCGACTTGCTGCAGCCGGTTCAACCTCCTAGTCACCTCTTCTCTCGTGTTGCCTACCCAAAACTCTTGTAATATACCCGCTGTGTATAAGAGCATGCAAAGAAACTATGTTCATGTGTTTTTGCAGATACCCTACATAACACAGTATGGAGTTACAGATTTACCATATCGAATGGTTTATTTTGGTAGCCAATATTCCCAAAATCACTAGTCAAACCAGATACTACTACGAGGCATATGGTATCTTCTCCAAACAAGATGATGTCATATAACAGTAGCCTTTGCTTCTTAAATGACTAACCGTACTGTTTTTGCTGCATATGTCATCATCACTTTTTCCTGCCAGTACACTAGGCCATCTTTAACAGTAAGGAACTGCTGAATAGTTCATCAATCTTGCTAGCAAGATTTTTTTATATGATTTTATAGAGGACATTTACACAAGATATCGGTCTAAAGTTCTTCAAATGCATTGAGGTAGGTATCTTTGGTATTAAAGTAACAATTGTATAGTTTACTGAAGTGAGGAGCTTACCAGAAGTGAAATAGCTAAGCACTCTAGCAACAATATCGACTCCAATAATATGTCAAGTTGTAACATTCCATTCCGGCAAAACCCATATTACGGTCGCTAGAAAATTTCACGATTAAAATTGAGTGTTTTAATAGTATTTCGACGAAAATCGGAATATTGATCGATCGGATAAGGGTAAATTGCAAGTTTTGTCACTGGATAAGGGGTAAATTGCAAGTTTTGCCACATCACACATTTAATGGTCAACTATTAGAGTTGACTGCCACATCAGCGAAAGTTAACGGAGACTAACGGAGAGTGACTAAACTTGAACTGTTGAACTAATTTAGTGACTATAAATGGAATAAACTGATTTTAATGGCAAACGTGACACTTTTTAGTAATTCCAGTGACCAAATTGCTATTTACCCATCGAATAAGTATATATATATGGTGACTACTTCGATGCACTCACAAAAAAGAGTGCGTTAATACACCCAACTCAAAAACTAGTTCTAAAGTGTCTGATTTTGAATTTTAATTTATAGAATTAGTGTAATATGATGATATAACATATGATAACAACTAATTAGCAAATTACCCTAAGCCTCAGACCTCCAATTTTGAGTTCTATCCCTAAACCCCAAATTGTAAACCCTAAGCCTAGCCCTAAATCTCTAAACTCTAAATCCTTCAAATTAAAGTAAATCTTCAATGGTTTTTGTGCAAATTCATGTGCGTTATTGTTCATCATATCATAAGTGATGATTGACATCATTTTGACATAATCGCATGTTTAAAATGACGGTTATGAAGCGAGTGCACTGAATGCACCCAAAAAAGTGAGTGCACCGAAGACGCCACTATATATATTATAGGGGAGTTCTATGGTACCTTGGGTGAAATCTGGGGTACCGCATACCTTAAGTAAGAAAACGCTATCTAGAACTTGAATTGACTGATCTTTCGGACATTATACTATACTCTAACCCATAAAGATCAAAATCTAGGTCTTAATTCTCTAAATCTTATACCCCAAGATCAATTTAATTAGAAACAATAATCAACGGTTATGATTCGTCCAAATATAGGAAAAAAAGTAATACACCATCTTAGGGTTTTGAGTTTATGATTTAGATAATTAGGACCTAGGGTTCACTCATTAAGGGTTAGGGTATAGTATACTCTACTCTAACCCATAAAGATCAAACCCATAAAGATCAAAATCTAGGTCTTAATTCTCTAAATCTTATACCCCAAAATCAATTTAATTAGAAACAATAATCAACGGTTATGATTCGTCCAAATATAGGAAAAAAAGTAATACACCACCTTAGGGTTTTGAGTTTATGATTTAGATAATTAGGACCTAGGGTTCACTCATTAAGGGTTAGGGTATAGTATCATGCCCAAAAATCCTGCTAATTCGAGGTCTAGATAGCGTTTTCATACTCAAGGTATGCGATGCCCCGGATTTCACCCGGGGTACCATAGAAGGCACCATATATTATATTATATAAAGCTCAATCCATGTTACTGTTGTCTATACTTTTGCTCTCATTGGTTTTTTTTATGCATATGTTTTCCCATTTTAAGATTTTGCAACTTCCACATAATCCATAGTTGTACTTTTTTTGCATGAGATATTTGGATTCGCACCTGTTCTAAAAAATATTTCTCAATTCGAGAGTTGTGAACTTCTGATAATGTTGTAACTGTGGAAATAAATTTGCAACGGGTGGTATCCACCCGAATCTGACTTAATCAGATAGGGTAAAATTCGAACTCGAGGGATTTTTTGTGGATGTAAAAAAATTTGAATCTGAATATTACATCAATGGATGGACATGATTTTCTCACTATGCAACCCAAATATGCTCAATTATACACATGCATATGTATTTTTTCTAGAAAGCTCATTATTTTTCTCTATAACCTTGATATTTGTTATACATATATAATATTTTCGTGCAGTTGTTTTGTTTTAACTAATTTTCTTCATTTTAGTGATTTTTATTGGCGTACGCAATGTCATTATACGAGTGAATGTTAACATGTTGGTTAGATTTATATATAAAGAAAAATTATTACCCATGGATAACACGTGAAAACCCGAATCATCGAGAATTGGATTGATTTTAATTTTCTCCTCGATTCTTCTTTGAGTATGAGTAAACCAAACTATTCTAGGTAGGATAATGGATATTCACTATCCGCCCCCAACACGATCGATTTCCATTCCTAATTTTCATTAATCCTTAGGGTATGCCTACTATGACATGCATGTCACCGTGACATGGACTTTTCGGTCGACCTAATCCTGAAGACGGTCGACCGAATTGACTAATTTGGGCAGCACGAGAAAGCATTGTGGTCGACCTCAAAGACCACCTGGTCGACCGTTCTTAGTTTAAGTTGTTATTTTTGGTTGACCAGAATAAACCTCGGTCAGCCATTTCGTTGGCGTTAGAAACAACATGGTCGACCGTAAATGTATATAGGTCGACCACTTGATGGCAGTCATTAACAACATGGTCGACCAGATAAAGAAAGAGGTCGACCAGATAGACGATAAGTGTTCTATCAATTTATCCAATCATTTGACGTAAAATGAAGATCAAGTGTTGGTGTCGAGGTCGACCTAATCCGGTATGAGGTCGACCGAATACAAGATAGTCAACCTATACCCCGTGTCTTTTTTGCTTATGTATGTCGATTTGTGTGGTTCTTTTGCTCGTCTAAATTACGCTTTAAACCATCATAACTAGTCATAAATAATGATAACAAGGACTCATCAATTATGCTATGAATTGAGGTCGACCGCCTTTAGGATTAGGTCGACCGCAATGCTTTCTCGTGCCGCCCAAATTAGTCAATTCGGTCGACCGCCTTTAGGATTAGGTCGACCGAAAAGTCCATGTCATGGTGACATGCATGTCACCGTAGCAAAATCCTAATCCTTATATGTTATGTCATCGTATTAGACTCATGTTACCAATCAAACATCAAAATTAGATTAAATGTTTTGATAAATAAACTTCAAAATGAGATGTCTTAAGACTACTTTTAAAATTAGGTGAATAGTATTTACACATTTTTGTAATGTAAGATGTAATGATGTTAGGTTATTAAAACAAAATAATACACACAAATGACTAACCAACAAAGTAAAAAATTAAAAATCAACCGCAGGCCGTTGCAGAGCTCGGCCGCCACCTAGCTAGTATATATAAAATTAAAAAATGAAATGTAAAACAAAAATGGGCAAGTAGGCGATGGGGACTCGGGAGCTCCTATTAATTTCTCCCCCACCCCGTCCATTTCTTCATTTCCTACTAGACATGGGTCCGGCCTGTTGGCCGAGAGACTTTGATAGTGGTTATTGAGTAAAGTTGTATAAACTCTCTTGTAATTGATTTATGTTGAGCTTACAATATGTCGTTATATCAATTTGTAGTGGTTATTGTCACCATATTCGTAAAAGTTTTGGTTGAGTTGATCATTTACTGATACAAAAGGCTCTTTTCTCGTCGGGTTGATTAGCTAGAGACTGGCGTATTTGATTATTTCATATCATGCATCTAAAGTTTATTGTGTTGTATTCTTCTGATGGGTAACTACAATAATTTTATTTATTTATTTGTAGTTAGCAGAATTATTTAGGCAAGTACTCAAACTATTCATAGTGTGCTTAAAATATTAAAAATATAATTGTGAAACCTTGTCTTTTGTGCCAGATAACAATAAACCTTCTGAAATATAATTAAGAGCCATTTTTTCATGAAAGTTAACGTCAAAATTGATAAAATCATACTTAGGTCCAGGTATCTGCACACCTTATTTAACACACAATTGATTATAATGCTATTTATTTAATTTTAGAACATAAAAATAGAAAAGATTTTGAAATAAATAAATAAATAGAACATAAAGCTTTTTCTGGGGCTCCCCTTGAAGAAATTCAAGGGTGGATGAAAAGGAAGATGAAGAGTATTATTGGAAGGAGGAGTTTACGTGGATGATAAGAAGGAAAAATATTAATCGTCAAAGGAGATAAAAGGAGACAGACATCTATTGTTGTGTTTAGTTATTTTAAAATCTTTCATATGTTTTATGTTACAAATTAAACATGTTAGTTGTTAGGTAATTGTAAATGGAGGTGTCGAGACACCTAGACCTAAGTATAGCTCTATTAACTCTTACGTCAATTTTAAAAGATTTGACTATCTTTTGAAAAAACAACAATAAAACAGGAGAGAACAACTGAAACTAAAAGGAAAATATTATCAAGACGTTGTGATTCGATGATAGTAAAAATTACAATGATAAAAAGGACATGTTTTTTCAATGATGCACCAAGAGAAAAGCTTAATACTTAATAGGAGAGAACAAAATTGTCGCAATCCTAAATGGTCTAAAATTATAAGGCTAAAATCCTCGAATTGTGGACCATGGTCAATCTTCTTATAAACTATGATTATCAATTTTGCCGTCTCAAAGTTCCCCATGATCGATTTTGAAAGAAAAAATCTTCCAAGAGCACCATAACGATGAGTATTTCTCTTGAGATGATTTCTCATTTATAAAAAGGCAGAGAGGTATATTAGTCAGTGAAGAGTATCGAAAATGGCATAGTCCCTCTCTAAAGTACTCCACCCATCAGGCCATGGAAGATCTGGTATAACTCTCAATCCACCACAACATCGGAGCGGGATAAGGCATACATTCCAGTTGCAAGGTTCTGGCCGATTCGACTCAAAGCTCCGTGTAAAGGAATCCCGATGCACCATTAGAATCCAACCCAAGAGTATTTTATGAGGAAAGGTAGGGGCAGAGCAACATAAAAATAAAAATGACGCATCACCCTAAACAAAGAAATTGAACTAATAAACAAAATGTAAGTGCCACCACATCTGAAAATCTATACTGACAAAAACAAAAAGCAAAGCAAGCTTTAGCTAATGGAAAAGTGACAGTAAACAAAGGTATGGAAAAGAAAGAGAAAATTCATCAAAATAAAACACAACAAATTTGGAATCTGAAATCAAATAAATTGGAAATATTGTTTCTAGCTCTCTATACAGTCACATGCTCATCAGACCCTCAAAGTAACTGAGTTGAGGGTGGGCTATTTAAGATGGAAACACAGGGTTAAGTATTATGGTTGTGCACAACTCGGACGACATGGAATCAGAGAAGCTGCGTGGGCTAGATGTAGATGGTCGAGCGCGAGACCAACTGCTTCTTCTTTGGCTTTCTTTTACTTTCTCAGGGCTGCAAGAAACCCTAATCGAACCAGAGAGATCAAGTGAAGATTCACGAAATGCAAAAAGTGAATTGATGAAATAATTTGTTCTTTATTTTGCCGAATGAAATGTACTGTTAGTAACTATATCGGGCTGGGCTTTTACTTCCTTTACTAATAAGATTTGTACCGCTGAGTTAATGGGCTTGTTACCCTGAGGCCCAATCGTTTGTACTGATGCTTCTTCTCCAGGAGACTCCTGTGCACTTCTCCTGCTTTTCTTTCGAATAACCAGAAACAGAGCAACACAAGCATAAAGGCAACAAAGCAAAAGGAACAAAGACTCAAGACCCAATTTTACGTGGTATCCGATATTGGGAGAAGAAGGATCCCAATATCGACTAATCCACGGCAAGAGATTATCCTCTTGAGAATTCTTGCGTAACCACTAATGGTTTTACTCGGTTTTACAATACGATGAACACCCTTGATCAGCTCCCTGCTTAGCAAGATGTTCGATCCTCCTGTGTATCAACTCCCTGTCTACACACAGAACTACAAAGCAATTCTCCCTGATTTGCCACACACTGTTTTTCTATATCAAGACTACTATTGACCCTCAACTCTGTAGCTTTGATTTTTCCCAGAAAAACGTTGCGCTATACAATTGTGTGTGGCTCACCTAATATACTCTTCTTTGCTGCCCGTTGGCCTTGATCTCTCTTGATTGATTTGATTTCCTTCACTCTTGGCGTCTTTCCATATTGGTAAGCTTCCTCTTATGGTAAGGCTCGGAAACTTTGATACAGATTAAGGTCTGAGATCTTTTAATCGATTCTGCCATTGACAGGCTTCCCACAACAAGCTCCCCCTAAGCTTGTCAATGGCTCACTCTGTTGCACTTGTTTTCCTGCGCACACTCAACACACAATTTGGTGCAGTCTGTTCTATGCAATAACAGAAAGAGGGAACACTTCTTATTTTATTGATGACTTTCAGAAACCTCAAGGACATGACACAAGACATAATCGACGCACCTGACACTCAACCAAGATTAACAGACTTAAACACTCAGTTTTGAAAAGACCAACTTAACTCTGCTAGACTACCATTGCTACGATCCTAATGCTCCCCCTTAGTTCAGCAACTGATTCTTTTAGAAGGGATAATCGGGTGGAGTTTCATAGTCAGAGATATCATCTTCTGAACTATTGTCAGGAGATATTGGATCGAAGTTGACTGGGGCAAGCATGGCTTCATCGTCCTCCAGAAGCTCCAGACGCTTCTTGCACACTTGAAGTCTAGTTGTTGTCTCACTTCCAGCGTCCTTTCCTCGTTTGATTTCAAGATCTAGTGCAGATACTGCAGCTTGTGTCAGTCCTGACATTAAGCCATCAGTAGTTCTTTGTGCAGAGAAGACAAGGTAACTGGCATCTCCCCCTGAGCCAGAGAGAAGCTGACGGCGCCCAACATCAGCATTAAGACGATTAAGAACATGATTGGGACGCAGATCATCATGAATGTTGCAAACAACAACCTTATCGCGAAGATCAATGCCTAGACGATAAAGGTAGCGGGTGATAAGTGGACCAAAGAGAAGCGGACCGCTATAACCACCATTACCGAACCGAATCATATGGGTAAAAACAAGAGAAGCATAGCTGATTGGCGAGCGAGAACGAGCATTAGACATAATCCAGAGATCAGAAGTGTGGAGAATATCAGTGCTGGAGATGTCTCTGGGAAGAAGACAGCGGGTAAGGAAGAAATGGAAGACTTTCAGATCGTCAGGCAAGCGACCAGCAACGAGCATGGTGGGGAAAACACGGCCAATATCACGCGTGAGTTCATTCAGGGTAGCCCCAAAATCGAACCCAAGATCTGCAAATTCACCGTCAAAGGCAGCCTAACATCCTTGATGAGGCAGAGAGAGAACAGATGCAAGCAGGTCTGGAGTGACTGTGATCTCATGATCATAGACCAAGGTGGTGAAGGACTTTGGTTCAGCACCACGCCCTTGTCGAAGATTGACATAGAAGAGACGAACCGCCTCTGGACAGTGTAGAAACCGTTAGTCTTCCATCAAGGCAGACCAACCGAGACCACTCAGAAGGGATGGAACATCCATATCGTATTTTGAAAAGGCTGAGGGACGGATAGTGAAGGATGGATAAATGGGGCGATTTCGGAAGCACCGAAGGTACCTGGAGTACACAATAGCACTTTGGAACCCTTGGTTTTTGAACACAACAGCAGATCGAAGCTGAGCATTGTTTGAGGTCATTTTGCTTTGGGAGAGGGAGGTTTATCGCAAGTGGGCTGGAGTGATGGATGCAGATGAGTAAGAGAGGACTTAAATACAGACGAATGAACCATAGATGGTAATGCCTCTCCTATGCCAGCTTTGTACTGCTGATTTTTCGTGAAAGATTTGAGTGGAAGAACACAGGGAAGGAATCTGAATTGAAAAAGGGAAGAAAAATCTTCCAGAATAGAGTCCTAGGAGATTTCTTCTATATCTTCGAGAGAGAATAAGCCAAGTTCACGTCGAATTGGGAGGAATTTATCAGCACACAGGGGCTTAGTGAATATGTCAGCCCATTGTAGGTCAGTCCCCATATATATTCTAGGTGAACTTTACCTTCTTGGACAAGGTCTCGAATAAAATGGTACCTAACCTCTATGTGTTTGGTGCGAGATTGTTGAATGGGGTTTTTAGTCATGTTGATGGCACTCGTGTTATCACACTTAACAGGAAGAGACCCAAGCTGAAGACCATAGTCTTCCAATTGGTATTTCATCCATAATGATTGAGTACAGCAAAATCCAGCTGCTATATACTCTGCTTCTGCAGTAGATAAAGCAACTGAACTTTGTTTCTTGCTAAACCAAGAAATGAGAGAAGATCCAAGAAAGTGACAGGTACCCGAGGTACTCTTTCTATCAACTACACAACCAGCGTAGTCTGGGTCACTGTAGCTAATCAAATCTAATGGGGAAGAACTGGAATACCAAAGGCCTAAGGTGGGGGTGCTTGCAAGATAACGAAATATTCGTTTGATTGCAGAAAATGGATTTCCTTGGGGTTGCTTTGAAACCTAGCGGAAACACACACGCTATACATGATATCAGGCCGACTGGCCGTGAGATAAAGTAGGGATCCGATCATGCCCTTGAATTTTTTACTGTCCACAGACTTGCCAGACTCATCCTTGGTTAACTTGACAGTAGAACCCATTGGAGTAGAAGCAGTTTTTAGATGTTCAAGACCAAACCGTTTTAACATGTTATTGAGATATTTAGATTGACTGATGAATATCCCAAGATCAGTTTGTTTTACTTGTAGACCTAGGAAGTAATTTAATTCACCCATGAGGCTCATTTCAAAAGCATTTTTCATGTTATTTTCGAATTCAGTGCACAAATGAGGACTTGTGGAGCCAAAGATAATGTCATCCACATACACCTGAACAAGAAGAGTATCCTTATCTACAGTTTTTATGAAAAGAGTTTTATCAACTTTGCCTTGTCTAAATCCTTTTTCAATCAAAAAATTGCTTAGTTTTTCATACCACGCCCTAGGTGCTTGTTTCAATCCATACAAAGCCTTATTTAGTTTATACACATAGTCTGGATGTTCAGGATCTTCAAAACCAGGTGGTTGTGATACATAAACTTCCTCTTATAGATCACCATTTAAAAATGCACTCTTAACATCCATTTGGTATAGTTTAAAACCCCTAGAAGCAGCATATGCACATAACAGTCTAATGGCTTCCAACCTAGCTACAGGAGAAAAAGTTTCATCGAAGTCGATTCCTTCTTCTTGACAATATCCCTGAGCTACTAATCGAGCTTTGTTTCTAATAATGATCCCAATTTCATCTGTTTTATTTCGAAAAACCCATTTTGTTCCAATAATTATTCTATCTTTTGGTCTAGGCACCAAGTCCCAGACCCTGGTTCTGGCAAACTGATTAAGTTCATCATGCATAGCCATAGACTAGAATTCATCTTTTAATGCATCATCAATATTTTTTGGCTCAACTTGTGAGACAAACGCAGAATGCTCAACTGAATGCATAGATCTAGTAAGCATACCTTGTTTCAGGTTGCCAATGACAAGAGATGGAGGATGTCTGCGTCTGATGTGTGGTGGTGCTTGAGGTTCAGTTCTCTCTTCTTGTTCATTCTCTGTAGTGCTTGTTACTGCAACCTTTTCTTGAGCATCTGGTGATTGCTTGTGGTCATTTCTAGTCCCTAAACCAAAATCATCATCCTCGTCCAAACTTTCTGCACACTTATCACAAGACTCATCAAATATCACATTGATGGACTCCTCAACCTTGAGGGTCCTTTTATTGTAGATTCTGTATGCCCTGCTTCTTTCAGAATACCCCAGAAAAATTGGTTCATCGGATTTTGAGTCAAATTTTCCTAGACTGTCCTTGGTATTTAGTGCATAGCACTTGCATCCGAATGGATGAAAGTAACTTAAATTAGGTGTCCTGTTCTTCCAGAGTTCATAGGGGTTTTTGTTTAGTTTGGATCTAATGAGAGCCCTGTTAGTTACATAGCATGCAGTATTTATGGCTTTCCCCCAAAATTTCTTTGGTATGCCATAATCATTCAGCATAGTTCTAGCTATGTCGATAAGTGTTCTGTTTTTCCTTTCAACCACACCATTTTGTTGTGGTGTCCTAGGTGTAGAGAAGTTGTGGGAAATTCCCTTTTTATTCCAGAATTTTTCAAACTTTTCTGACACAAATTCCCCTCCATGATCACTTCTTATACCTACAACACCTAGTTGTTTTTCATTCTCTACTCGCTTGAAAAGTGTTTTAAAAGCTTTATATCCTTCATCTTTGCTTGTAAGAAAAAGTACCCAAGTAAATCTGGAAAAATCATCCACAATCACAAAGGCATAGTATTTTCCCCCTAAACTCATTACATTGCTAGGTCCAAACAAATCTAAATGAAGCAACTCTAATGGTCTAGTGGTTGAGATGACTGGTTTTGATTTGAAAGAGGATCTAAACTGTTTTCCCTTAGCACAGGCATCACAGAAGAATTCTTTCTTGCTGTGTAGCTTAGGAATTCCTCTAACTAGATTCATATTAACTAGTTTTGACAGAATTCCAACACTTATGTGTCCTAGCCTTCGGTGCCATTCAGTTTGATCATTCTTGTTAACTGTAACTAGACAGGTTTCATTGAAAGCTGATTTGTCCTCAAGATCAATTGTATACAGCTTACCCTTGCGCTTTCCAGCGAAAATAAGCTTTTTAGTTTCAATATTTTCAACATAGCACTTATTTTGTTCAAAAATGACTCTGTTTTCACTCCCACACATTTGTCCTATGGAGAGGAGATTGTGTTTTAAATCCTTGACTAACAGAACATTGCTAATAGAGGGTACAGATCCTACTTGACCCTTACCTAGTATTTCAGTGCTATAGTTGTCACCAAAAAAGACTTTTCCTTTGTTTTCTAAATGAAGTTTTGAAAAAAGATTTTTATTACCAGTCATGTGATGTGAGCACCCACTGTCAAGTACCCATACGCTGCCTTTCGTGCTCACTTGAAGACAGGTCTGAAAACAAACAGATAGGTCTACTTAGACTTAGGCATCCAAACAAGTTTAGATGCCTTCCATGATTGACAGTCTTTAAGATGTGCTTTATTTGTTTGTCTTATGTTATGTTCACAAATGACTCTGTCTTTATTTTCTTTGGCAATTCTCTTTTTGCAGTGAGCAATAAAATGTCCAGTTTTATGACAGTAAAAGCACTCTGAGTTTTTGACTCTTTTAAACCATTTATGTTGATTGACTTGACCCTTGATTGAAACATGCCTATTCACCTTGCTTTTAGTCCTTGTGTTCTCACTTAATTCCTCTTCTGTTTCTTTAATCTTCTTTTTTAACAAGACATTTTCTTCCTCTGATTTTCTGAGTTTGTTTTCTATACTTAGTTTTTCATTTTTCAATGCTTCAAGCTCAGATTCTAATGCTTCGTATTTGGCTTTAGTTGTCATATGTTTATGCTTAACATTTACAAATTCCTTTTGAATGTCTCTGATAGTTTCATCCAATTGATCATTATCACTAGAGGAGTCAGAGTAGTAGGATCTTACTTGTGAAGCTTCTTCATCACTTTCATCGACAACCATGTATGCACTGTATTTCTGACAGGTCTCATCCTCATCTTCCTCCTCTTCGCTGCAGCTCTAGGTAGCATAAGCTTTCTCCTTCTTTGTCAGGGGACAATATGCCTTGATGTGTCCCTGCTTTCCGCATTTGAAACATTCAGCTTGAGACTGAAATCGTTTTGAGCTGGCTCCTTCTCTTTTACTTCGGGTCATATGTCGATTTCCCTTGCTAGACTCCTTGTCATTTTCTGCTTCTCGTTGTCTGCCAGGGAAGTTTCCTCTTTTCCTTTCTCTTCTTATCTTCAGCAGTTTAGCAACATGCTTGTTAAGCATAGCAAATTCCTCTTCTTCCATCTCATCGAGGCACTCTAATTCATCTTCCTGTGATGTTACTTTGAAAGCTATTCCTCTTTTTTCTTTCTTCGGCTCTTCCAGATCCTCCCTCTTCAATTTTTCTTCATGCGTGATCAGGGAGCCGATTAGTTCATCCAGGCTCAATCTGGTGAGATCCTTTGATTCTTCGATTGTTGTGACCTTGGGAGTCCACTTCTTTGGTAATGCCCAGAGAACTTTCCGAACCAAGTCGACACTGGCATATTCAACCTCCAGGTTCCTCAGGCTGTTCACTATGGTAGTGAATCTCTCGTTCATCTCCTTAATTGATTCTTCAGGCTTCATGACGAATGACTCAAAGTCTTGCTTGAGGCTATTTATCCTTGAAATTTTGACGTGCGATTTTCCTTTGTGTGCAATCTGCAACTTTTCCCAGATTTCCTTTGCTGATTTGCATCCCGTCACTCTGTGATACTCCTCTGGCCCCAGAGTGCAGTACATCAAATTGGTTGCCTTCGAGTTTAGTTGGAAGTTCCTCTTGTCTTCCTCTGTCCACTTTCCACGAGTTTCCTTGACTTCGAGCGGACCATCCAGCACTATGTTCCAAAGGTCTGGATCAGTGGAACATATGAACAGCTCCATTCGGTTTCTCCGATAGCCGTAGTGTACACCTTCAAACCGCGGTGGACGAGTTTGTGAAAATCCGTCGGCCATGAAGATCCCAGCTGATGTTGATCCCGAGCTCATCTTCTCCGGGGGCGGTTGCGCCTGAGACGTCGGAGCCGGGCTCTGATACCACGTGAAGATGATCGAGCGCGAGACCAACTGCTTCTTCTTCGACTTTCTTTTACTTTCTCGGGGCTGCAAGAAACCCTAATCGAACCAGAGAGATCAAGTGAAGATTCACGAAATGCAAAAAGTGAATTGATGAAATAATTTGCCGAATGAAATGTTGAAACACCCTAACCCGGCCGGGTACTACTTTTACTAAAATTCCCTTGATAAATAAAATACTCAAATCTTAAATTGCAACTGGGAAAAATTTCAATAAATAAAATACTGAAAACACACACTTGTAGTTCAAAGCAAAGCCCTAACATGTGGGCTAATTAAACACAACCTTTAAAAACTCAACTTGATCTCCAGTCTATACTCATAATCATAAAACATAATAACTAACTAGTCTCAGGTTTTGTTGCTTGCGTGAAAAACTCTGACTAGACATCCTCAGTGATACTCGTACCGTCCTCCTCTAGCTAGCTTCACTCGAACTGTTTCTCTCGATCCCGCTACTCTCTAATTGCTCCTCTAGCTTCTTCCTCTTCAAACTGGTGAGTGAGTTGGGGTCATTCTACGCCCTTACGTTTAACCTCTTAATAAAACTTGAGCACTTTACTTAACTGTGTGGAAGTTCTTTTGTACTTCCACTATCGAAAAGCTTAACTCTTAAAACTGTATGGGAGTTACTGTTACTCCATTCTTAAATCTCAAAGCTTGACTTAAATACTTGACTGACACTGGGATCCCTCACTAGCTAGTCTGGTTGCCAACTCATACATATGAGAAGCCATCAAGGCTTTCCTTAAACTTAAACTTAGTTAGGGAAGTCGTAACGATTCATCCCCCCTAACATCTTAAACTTATCGTGGTGGCTCTTCACCACGATTCTCAAGAGCATAACTATTGCTCATCTTAAAAGTCTCAAGAGCATAACTGCTGCTCTGTCTCAAAGATCTCAAGAGCATAACTGCTACTCTATCTGAAAATCTCAAATGGCAACGGACTGGCGCTAGTGACTAAAAACACTTAAAACGACTTCACCTTCTTGAAGGTGGGTTACTTCTTAAAAATACATTGTTTCTTAAACTTTAACAATAGCTTATACTCATAAAATTTTCAAGGTAAATAATCACCATTCACTTCAAGTCATAACTCAAACAAGCACATATCATCAACCATAATCATGCAAACTCAAACATGAAGCAAATACTGCACATGCATCACGTAAATCAATACTCGAAAAAAAATACTCAAGGCAGATACTTAAAAACCGTAAGGCGTAGAATTTACCCCCTTTACACTCACCTTAATTCTCAAATGACTGATTTTGTCGAATATCCTGAATGACTTTGACCCATCCGCCAACACTTCTTGATAGCCTGATGCGGAACATCCCGTAGCAGTTGATTGACTTCGTTCCACATCAACCCAATTCGTCTCATTCATAAAAGTCAACCACAACAAAATGTCCCAAGCCACGTTAAAGTACCTCTCCTAACCCCAATATTGCTTATCCTAAACGTGATACTAATTTGATTCAACGAAGCAGACTGGTGTTACCTCTACTCCGTGCAATCATTGTCAATCCACATGCGCTGATATATAAACAACCTTGTCCCCGTCCTTGGAATCGTCCTACCGCCCACCGCCGCTAAGATGTGTTGCTCCCATCACAACGACAAGTGAGGAACTTGTGAGAAGATCTTGCTTTGTGGAGGCGAAAGGGATCATGGGGCTGGGTTCTTTGTGCGAACTCGTAGGAGGATGGCGGCGGTGATTTTCTCCCTGTTGGGTCGGTGGAGAATTGATGAGGGGTAGGGAATTGATAAAGACATGTTAAAGGGACGGCGAGGGTTTTCTTCGAAATAATTGAGGGTCGAGCGCCCTCTCGGTTTATATGTATATTTTTTTAATAATAATAATAATAATATAGTTATTATTATTATTATTATTCATAAACCGCGGGTGCAACCCTTCGTACGTAACCATCGATCCAATCATTCGGTCGAACCTAACCCAAAATTCGGGGTGTTACATTTCCTCCACCCTTATAAAAATTTCGTCCCCAAAATTTGCTTGAAACTCATTGCTCATTCTACACCATCTTTGTACTCCCTTGCCTCAAGAATTTACTCTAGCTAAATGTATTTCGATGATGTCCGATGTCCGTTGCTTGTCCCGTATGATTTACCTCACTTCTTATATTTCCTCTTGACCATAGAAGGGATTCTCACCAAGCTCGTTAGCATCGGCCAGCTTTGGGTGGCTACTTATCCTTTTCAATTCCCCACTTGGGCATAAGACGTGACGGGACAACACATCGAGTCGATTTATTGGTCTAGCCCATTCAGTACTTGTTTTTGAACCTTAGATCGAATTCGAGGTGTCACATTTCCTCCCTCCTTAAGAAAAATTTCGACCTCGAAATTTGTTCATTGCTGATAACCTAAAGTCTCACTTGAGGTAATCCTTCTGCTGCAAGGACTTATACTTCCTTTACCTTATACAACCTGGAGCTATAAACCCTTTTCTCCAATTCGTGTGGTCCTTCGCCAACTAAATACCCACCCATTTTTCAAAAATCTTTTGCTCAAGCTAGTTACTTGCTCAATGCGTCTATGGCGCTAAGGCACTCTCTCTTTTTAAATGTCTCTGACGCTGTAATGGCATTTGTAGCTCTTATTGTTCTCAACAATTTGTCTTGGGTCTCTACTTAGGATTCCTTAAGAACTTAAAGGAAATAAATTATTAGCCAGCCCTATTCAAGTCATGACTCGTTGTAACTTCAGCTCACACCAGACCCAGACCTTGAACTTTGTCCTCCCTATCCTGACTGCTGACAACTCTCCTTGGTATAGAATGTTTGGCCTGCTTAATGATTAACTTCGATGCTGATTCCTAGGCATCGCTTCTTCTCCCTTTATAGGCCTCGTTACTCTCCTCTTTGATAATTCCACTTGACACACACTCTTGATGCCTGATTCACCATATATGGTGACTTTAGCATGAGAAAATCTCTTACATATCCCTATTAATGTTCTTAATACCCCTTTCAACCCAAAGGTTACTAATGGCCGCTTCACCTCCATCTTGTTATATCGCAAAACTCTTTTAACATAACCTCATCTGTGGTTGACCACGTAGATCACCTAGGTCATTGTACCTTCTGACTCTGAATCTCTTACTTTCATCCAAGATTCTTTGTCTCTCCCTTTAGCCATCGACTGAATGGTCATCTCCTCGTTACTTGTTGTTTAGCGCCAAAACCTCATACTACTGCTTTTACCTTCTGTAGGCATTAGAGACATCCTTTGCATTTCTCTCCAGCTTGCGATAAACTTTATGACTTCTTTCCAGAATCACGACCTTCCCTTTTGAGTACTTGTTCACTCCTGGCGCCTAACTTAACACTTCCTTATCGTTGCTTGAATGTTATGCTCTCGTACTATCCCTTCTACCACTCTTGTACCCTAGCTGAAATTCATCGTACGGTTTCCCCGTCCAATAAATTTTTATCTGAGAGATCGGCACCTTTCACCCGCATAGGCGATCTTGGCTTCACTTTGGGGTACCCTATCCGATTCCCTAAACTCATATCCATATTACTTCTTTACTCGTGACTCTTCTCCTTGATGTTACTCATTAGTTCTAGATGTTCCTTGTTCTCGATGTAGTCATCTAGGTTCTTATAGTCTCTTCTCACTTATGTACCATGATAGATAAGGTTCTCCCTTCGACTATTCCTGACGATCATGATTCCACCTTAAGAATTGACTGAAATATCTCCATGGACTTCCTATGGATCGGTTGTTCTCTACTTGGTGGTCAACCAAATGCTTTCTTTTTGTCTGTTGTACTCCTGCTTCCGCCCGTCTTACTATCTTCCTTGATGCATACATCGCCAGGTTGATGCCAACCATTTTTTTTTCTATAACTTCCCACAGTGTTCTTCTTGCTTCTTTACTTTTACTACCACCAAACTACAACTCCTCTGTTGTTACTTGTACTATATTTGGTCACCAACCTTTGTTGAGTATCTTCTCGTTGTTGTTTTAGGGAACAACTTCCAATGGTGGCCTGCCCTTGGTAACCTTTAACCTAACTCATTCCATGTCTCTCTTGTTGATCGATCTTGTACATAAACTAGTCTATTCTGTTTCTTCATTAACTAGTCGTCCCCTCTGGAGCCCTCCTACTATGTCGCGCCCACTCAGAGTGGGGCACCTTGGATAAGGTAACTTCTCTTTTTCCGCCTTCTCGGTAATGCTTTCCCTCATCGTACCTCCTTGTGCAGCTTCTTGATCTCGAGTCACCTGAGACTTGACCCGTTGACTTCTTGAAATCTCGTCAAACTTCCTCTAGCCTTCCTGCTCTTTCCTGGTATTGTACGCAACCTGTTTTTATTAAGACCGTTGAGACTCTTCCTTGAATTCTCTAACATCTATTAGAACTTCTAATAAATGTTCTACTTGCTTGTCTATACTCGGTTGGTTGAATGATTTACTACTACAACTGGTTTCGAGACTCCAGCTCTTAGCCCTCTAGTTCCAACTTATTACAGAGGTTCCTCCTTCTGTCACCCCTCATGTACCCTAGGTGGCTAGGTGTTCCCTCCACTTAGGATAGGACAATCCCATAACAGATCATCGTGAACTCTTGCATTCCCCTTTCAATGGTCTCAACGACCTCCTGACTTTTTGTGATCTGGGTAGTTTGTAGGGTCTCTCATATCCCAATACATCCTCTTTCTAGCTCGACCTTGTTCACTAGCACATTATTATTCTTGATCCAAGCTCGTTCTCTACCTCGATCAGCTTGACGCTTGTCTTGTTCCTTTTAAAGGCTTGCTACCAGCCTAACTCCCCAGGGTGATGTACTGTCTTCTCTAGTGACGTACTTTATCTACAAGGGTTCCTTTGTTGTCATATGTAAATGACCAAGCCTCCTCCTCCTTGACTTGTTGATTTCTTGACGTCCTTTCATACCCCATGTAGCCTACTTATTTCCTCCTTTGCTTCCTTTATACTACCCTAGCATTTCTTAAAGTCTAAACATTCCTCTGCTCCTTGTCACTGTGTTGTAATGGCTTTGAGCCATCGTCCACAAAAACTAGCTGAGGGACTTCTCGGGGTACCTCTTTGTTTCTTGACCCTTTGTTTTCTCGCCACTGCTTAGGGTCATAACATCATCCTATTATCATCGCTACTGGCATCTGGTGATTGTTCCTCTTCCTTTGGAGATTCATATTTCTCCCCTTTGTTTGTCTTAGCTTATTAGATCATCCACTTGTTTCCTAGTAGTAAAATCCTCGTACTACTCTCTGAACTCCTTCAAAATCTTTGAGGTATTCCCTTTCAATTGGCACCTCTATGCTGGTGTTTGGAATTGAAGTCCTCGCACATTTGATTCTACCTCCACAGACCTTTGCAACGTTCCTCCTTCCTTCTCTAGGTTGATGATGATAATCTCTTCGATAACGTCCCAAGAGTTGGTTAACTGATTCACCAACCATTACCCATCGTGTCACTAAGATACTTGATCTTGAGAGACTTTGAGATTCTACTTGGGTTGGCCACATTTCTTGCTTCTTTCCGTTCATACTGATGATCGCCATACGCCTCAGTCTCTTATTTGACGTCCCACGACGAGTTAACATAACTCGCGTCCTAGCTAATTCTTAAACCAATTGTACCCTCGTGCTACCTTCTCATAGTGTCGTGCTGTAATAGTTATTCACCTTATTATGATTAGAGTAGAATGGAGATTCTATAAACTCTTAAAAGAGGACCCTTGACTCATTTTCCTTTCCTTTAAAACAAAACCTTTAAAAACTGAGACCGACATTCCAGTATTCCTTGGAGACCAAGGAACAGAGGAAAACCGGGCTCTGATACCAAAATGAAACACCCTAACCCGGCCGGGTACTACTTTTACTAAAATTCCCTTGATAAATAAAATACTCAAATCTTAAATTGCAACTGGGAAAAATTTCAATAAATAAAATACTGAAAACACACACTTGTAGATCAAAGCAAAGCCCTAACATGTGGGCTAATTAAACACAACCTTTAAAAACTCAACTTGATCTCCAGTCTATACTCATAATCATAAAACATAATAACTAACTAGTCTCAGATTTTGTTGCTTGCGTGAAAAACTCTGACTAGACATCCTCAGTGATACTCGTACCGTCCTCCTCTAGCTAGCTTCACTCGAACTGTTTCTCTCGATCCCGCTGCTCTCTAATTGCTCCTCTAGCTTCTTCCTCTTCAAACTGGTGAGTGAGTTGGGGTCATTCTACGCCCTTACGTTTAACCTCTTATTAAAACTTGAGCACTCTACTTAACAGTGTGGAAGTTCTTTTGTACTTCCACTATCGAAAAGCTTAACTCTTAAAACTGTATGGGAGTTATTGTTACTCCATTCTTAAATCTCAAAGCTTGACTTAAATACTTGACTGACACTGGGATCCCTCACTAGCTAGTCTGGTTGCCAACTCATACGTATGAGAAGCCATCAAGGCTTTCCTTAAACTTAAACTTAGTTAGGGAAGTCGTAACGATTCATCCCCCCTAACATCTTAAACTTATCGTGGTGGCTCTTCACCACGATTCTCAAGAGCATAACTATTGCTCATCTTAAAAGTCTCAAGAGCATAACTGCTGCTCTGTCTCAAAGATCTCAAGAGCATAACTGCTACTCTATCTGAAAATCTCAAATGGCAACGGACTGGCGCTAGTGACTAAAAACACTTAAAACGACTTCACCTTCTTGAAGGTGGGTTACTTCTTAAAAATACCTTGTTTCTTAAACTTTAACAATAACTTATACTCATAAAATTTTCAAGGTAAATAATCACCATTCACTTCAAGTCATAACTCAAACAAGCACATATCATCAACCATAATCATGCAAACTCAAACATGAAGCAAATACTGCACATGCATCACGTAAATCAATACTCGAAAAAAAAATACTCAAGGCAGATACTTAAAAACCATAAGGCATAGAATTTACCCCCTTTACACTCACCTTAATTCTCAAATGACTGATTTTGTCGAATATCCTGAATGACTTTGACCCATCCGCCAACACTTCTTGATAGCCTGATGCGGAACATCCCGTAGCAGTTGATTGACTTCGTTCCACATCAACCCAATTCGTCTCATTCATAAAAGTCAATCACAACAAAATGTCCCAAGCCACGTTAAAGCACCTCTCATAACCCCAATATTGCTTATCCTAAACGTGATACTAATTTGATTCAACAAAGCAGACTGGTGTTACCTCTACTCCGTGCAATCATTGTCAATCCACATGCGCTGATATATAAACAACCTTGTCCCCGTCCTTGGAATCGTCCTACCGCCCACCGCCGCTAAGATGTGTTGATCCCATCACAACGAAAAGTGAGGAACTTGTGAGAAGATCTTGCTTTGTGGAGGCGAAAGGGATCATGGGGCTGGGTTCTTTGTGCGAACTCGTAGGAGGATGGCGGCGGTGATTTTCTCCCTGTTGGGTCGGTGGAGAATTGATGAGGGGTAGGGAATTGATAAAGACATGTTAAAGGGACGGCGAGGGTTTTCTTCGAAATAATTGAGGGTCGAGCGCCCTCTCGGTTTATATGTATATTTTTTTAATAATAATAATAATAATATAGTTATTATTATTATTATTATTCATAAACCGCGGTTGCAACCCTTCGTACGTAACCATCGATCCAATCATTCGGTCGAACCTAACTCAAAATTCGGGGTGTTACATTTCCTCCACCCTTATAAAAATTTCGTCCCCAAAATTTGCTTGAAACTCATTGCTCATTCTACACCATCTTTGTACTCCCTTGCCTCAAGAATTTACTCTAGCTAAATGTATTTCGATGATGTCCGTTGTTTGTCCGATGTCCGTTGCTTGTCCGTATGATTTACCTCACTTCTTATATTTCCTCTTGACCATAGAAGGTATTCTCACCAAGCTCGTTAGCATCGGCCAGCTTTGGGTGGCTACTTATCCTTTTCAATTCCCCACTTGGGCATAAGGCGTGACGGGACAACACATCGAGTCGATTTATTGGTCTAGCCCATTCAGTACTTGTTTTTGAACCTTAGATCGAATTCGAGGTGTCACAAATGTACTGTTAGTAACTATATCGAGCTGGGCTTTTACTTCCTTTACTAATAAGATTTGTACCGCTGAGTTAATGGGCTTGTTACCCTGAGGCCCAATCGTTTGTACTGATGCTTCTTCTCCAGAAGACTCCTCTGCACTTCTCCTGCTTTTCTTTCGAATAACCAGAAACAGAGCAACACAAGCATAAAGGCAACAAAGCAAAAGGAACAAAGACTCAAGACCCAATTTTACGTGGTATCCGATATTGGGAGAAGAAGGATCCCAATATTGACTAATCCACGGCAAGAGATTCTCCTCTTGCGAATTCTTGCGTAAACACTAATGGTTTTACTCGGTTTTACAATACGATGAACACCCTTGATAAGCTCCCTGCTTTGCAAGATGTTCGATCCTCCTGTGTATCAACTCCCTGTCTACACACAAAACTACAAAGCAATTCTCCCTGATTTGCCACACACTGTTTTTCTATATCAAGACTACTATTGACCCTCAACTCTGTAGCTTTGATTTTTCCCAGAAAAACGTTGCGCTATACAATTGTGTGTGGCTCACCTAATATACTCTTCTTTGCTGCCCGTTGGCCTTGATCTCTCTTGATTGATTTGATTTCCTTCACTCTTGGCGTCTTCCATGTTGGTAAGCTTCCTCTTATGGTAAGGCTCGGAAACTTTGATACAGATTGAGGTCTGAGATCTTTTAATCGATTCTGCCATTGATAGGCTTCCCACAACACTAGAAAGGTTGGGTAGATACAGATGATGAGGCTGAGTTCAAGGATGTTCAGTTTAGGTATTGATGCAAAGAATAATTGAGAAGCTCCAACTGAAGATTGAGGTGAAAACTTGCGGTAACAATTTTGCTTTCGGCGTTTCGGGATTCATCGAGAGAAGAGGAAAGCAGGCGAGGAGAAAAAGAAGAAAAGGAAAAAGGAAACTATGGTAGTCAGATTCTCAGATGCGTATAAGTCAAAACGCAGTGTGGAAGTTAATTTTGGCAATTCCCTTTAATGCCCTTGCGGAAAATACTAAGGCTGCAATTTTGAAATGGAGTGTTTCAGATGCTTTAAGACGTATTATATACTAGCTTATAACTAGGCCAGAATGTTCATATTTTAATATTTATATTTTTATTTTAATATTTTTATTTTTATGTTATGTTTAAGTCTATTAATTCGTTTAAATTTATTGAAAATCATTCAATCGAGATGCTACATAAAAAATGAATATATAAGTCGAACATAGATTGTGCCCCATTTTCATAATGATAATTAAACCCCCATTAAAATGATATTGGTTAATAGATTGTCCAGAAATATATAATATAAAAGCTCATTGGAATTCCCACACGATCCATAGATAGTTTGAAACTGAAATGAAACCTTACAATCCCACATAAATGGTTCAAAGCTCTCCTCTATGAATAACATGCCACTAATTAAAAAGAAATGGATTTGTAAAAAAACAAAAATGAAGAGTTGTTGATTCAAGTAAATCATATGCTAACAACTCAACTAAAAGGAGACCATCAAAACTTGAGAGCAAATGAAAAAATTATAGTTACATCCAATATACTAATAGACTCTATCAAAGTAACGAGGCACAAAATTAGACACTCCTTATCTATAGGTTCCAGTAGTTTGAATAGTGAATCGACCCTAACTTTAGTAAATCAATCAATGATTCCTCATTTTAACATAAACATAGATTGTGGTAGTTGCAACCAACTTTTTATCCACTCCATCTTCAATCTCTTGACGTATATGTTTTAAACCAAAATTCAATTAATAATCCTCCTTCTGCAACTCCATTTATGCTTCTTTGATGGACCTTCTCTCAATGAACCTGAATTTCTCTTTCAATTGAGTTTCTTGTTAGCTTGATCTCCAACTCCTCAATTCTCTTTCTTGTATTTGGCCAACTCATCTTCCTCGGGGTAGTTCTAATAAGCTCGTAAAACCAACACTCATCTTTAATTCCATCAATATGCTCTTCTCCTCCTTCTTTGCCTTCACCTGATCCAATTCACTTCCATGCCCTTCAATACCCTCTCCATTTTCATTAATATCCTGATCATCTACCACTTCTCTCTCTTCAACTGCTTCAATTTTGCTTCTATGTCTTTCAATACCCTCCTTGGTCAATCACTACCCTGACCAACTGTCTCTTCACTGCCTTCACTTGCTGCAAACTACTTCCATGACTTTTTATACACCTTCCTCGAAATCACAATCAACAAACCAATATCAATCCATGGCCTTGGATCAGTTTTAAACTATCTATGAACATCTCAACACCACAAAGTCTAAATCTAAATATTATTTCAATTAATCATGAACTTGAGTTTATGAAAATCTAATCCACTCCTTCTAAGTTGGAATTCCCATCCCCCGAGCTCATTTTTGGTTCATTTGACCCCACATAACCATGATATTATACCTCTAACTAAAATAAATCAAAGCATTTTACAAAAAAAAAAAAAAAAACTGAACCATGAACTTTACCTGCTACCAAATCCAAACACAATTTCTTCCTCTCACCACTTCCCTTCCCAAACCCAATATCAACTTTTACTCCAAGTTCACACCCTCAACTCCCAGTGTGTTGCGTGAAAGCTTAATTTTAGCAATCATTATGCTTGCAATTAGATTAATGGACACTAGCAAGCGCTAAAATTCTACCAGACGATGAGTTGTCTTCACTTTGAGTTTTGTCATAAAAATGCTGACCCGATATGTTTATCAGTTTGGAGGCCATATGATGAGCAATACCGAATCAGTTGCAGCGAAGTTACCGGTCACAATAAACATGTGTTAACAAACGCGAATATGGGTTACTTTTATGGATTGACATTAGAATGATGGGATTGGACAATGCGATCATCCTTAGTTAAGCGACATGTAAATTGGTCCATTTGGTATGGAGGACACAACCGCTAAAATTCTAAATTATTTGGGTTGAGTTTGTATTTAGTATTTTCAAAATTGTGGTATATGACTTAGGTGAATAAAATAGCTAAAAAGAAACGAACCGACCCACGTACACCCCTAGGAAGAGTTTCAAAACTTAGTATTTAACTGGACAAAAATGTTTAGAGAACCAGACCCCTATAGTTTGCACAAAGATATGATTGCTTCACTATAGTTCTGGAAATTAATGGTAATTTAAGAATTCTATATCGCTTCTACATATTCAATACTATATTTCGATGTGAAATAGTCGAACCAACAATATTTTGGTTGCAAATTTATGGTTATCGTCTATTTATAAGATAGATAAATTTTAAATTAAGTATTAAACTATAATTAAAATAAAAAAATATCAAAATCGAAGTATCAAAACACCAAAAATGTACTTACGGAATATTTATTGGGCTAGCTAACTGTTGAAAAGTTCTGTGATTTCATATGTTAGCTTCATATATATTTTTAATTTAAAAATATACAACAAATCTACATAGTCTGATTGATTTTAAACCTTCACTTTGTTTGAAGTGACCATGGTTCAAATCTCAATATGTCTATCTTTTTCTGTAAATAAATAAAAAATGTAGAAAATTATGAAGAAAAAAATGTCCTTCCTAATTTCCCTCTCATTGCAGGAAATTTGAAAAGGGATCTTAAGTTTCAAATAATTAAATCATATACCCTAAATCTATAGAACTTAAACCCTAATATCACATATACTAAGAACATAATCAATGATTCTGATTTGCCAAGATGTATATAACATACCATATGCACCATATTAGAATTTAGAGATTATGATATAGGGTTTAGTTACGTGATTAATCTATGGTCTAGATAATATTATTTAACTAAGGAGATGCAATAACCCTCAATCCATCGAGCGTACAACAGAATTTCCAATGTATATACACATACCATTGTTTGTTATATTTACCCAATGATAATGGGCTCATTTGTCAATGGTATTTAGTCTTTCAATTCTATGCTTATAATTGTCAACCATTAGGGAAATTGTTAGCCAATGAGTTTTGGTCATCACTTATAGCGTTGAAAATGTCTCGTTACAACACCATATATCACAAATGTCAAATTTTATGTTTTGAAATTAAATTTTGTATAGCACTTTTGTAAACAATCCTTGTATACGGTAGAGAGGAATACAAGAAATCGTGTCTGCTGATTCTTTCTCCTTTCTCTCTCTAGACGGTTAGCTTTGCCACAGTTTCTCCGCTGATCGCGGCCTGCAGCGGTCGCCGACGTAGGCGTTGTTCGTTACTACTAGGCTAAGCTGATCTATAGAAGGAAGGAATGGAATCGAGCTTGCACACATCGGGAAGATCTTGGGCAGACCTCTTCGGAGTTGCGGACGAGAATCGCTTGGTGTACGTTGAACCGGAGATTGTAGACGGAGGCCTCCGTATTTCCGCTGAACTTGAAGACGAAGGAATCGCGCACTGGCAACATTGTTTAGTAGGGCAGTTCCTATCTACTTCTCCCACATTCGTCAAGTCCAATCTTGGGCGAATCGTCTTTGGGGCAAGAAAGGTTCAGTTAGCTAGGGTTTCTTGGCTGGGTGAACGTCTGCTTCTATTTCAGTTCGCGACTGAGGAAACTGCACACTGGGTGTTCTCGATTGGTCCTTGGCATATGAGGAACGATATGTGTTACTTGAGGAGATAACAGCTCCTGAAGTGGTTCAAGAAGGAGTTAATGAAGGAAGTGTGGTGATGAACTCTGATGATAATGCAATAGCTACTCAAGTGGTTGCTGAAGAAGTGACTAGTGGTAGGTCTCTTTCAGAAATTGATGCTGGTATCCTGGGTGGTGGTGGATTGAAAACAACAGTGGAGAATTTTGTATCTTCCTTGTCTATGGGACCTGTTTGGCAAGGTCGCAACCTACCTTCTAACAGTGAATTCCAGAAGGCGGTGGGTACTAAACAAAACAATTCTTTTGAGATCCTTGCTCCCCTGACTTAATTTGAAATAGGGGAGATTGCAGTATCTCCCTTAAAGGATCCTGTTCACTTCCCAGAATAGGGAAGGAAGGTCAGCAGAAGAAGAAGAAAGGGAAACCTGGTCGGCTCCTAAAGGGGTAAAAAAATATCACATAAATCATGAATGTTCTGGTATGGAATATGAGAGGGTTTAATAGCCCTGATAAGCAGGAGAGTATAGTGGAGTCTGTTAGAAGGAATAAGGTGGAGTTCAATTCTGGAAACTAGAGTTAGTATGGACAAAGTACAAAAAATTATAGCGAAGCATTTCTTGGATTGGGAATATAAAGACAGTTACTCCCAGGCTGGGGTAGGAAGGATTTGGGTGCTATGGAAGAAGGGTTTAAAATTCACAGTACTGGAGAGCACTGGATTCTTTGTGCATGGTCTATTGCAAGAGGTAGAGCCTGCTAAAATTAAATTCATGTATGGATCAAACGAGGTCCTTGAAAGGCAGCAGACTTATCAAGAGGTGAAGACAAAGGTGGATGCGTCAGTACCTTGGATGGTAGTAGGAGATTTCAATGCAATCTTGAACAATACTGAGTCCTCAAACTTAGGAGGTCAAGGGAGAGTGCCCAACATTTCTCCTCCTGGATAAATGACATGAAGTTAACTGATCATAGAGTACTAGGGCCATGGTATACTTGGTCAAATAAGAAAGAAGGAAATCCTATTGCAAAGAGATTAGATCGTGCACTTGTCTCGGATAGTTGGATGGAGAGTTATCCTAGAAGTAGTGAAGTACTGTCAAGATTTTGTTGCCTGGCCTTTCAGACCACTGTGGAGTTCTGGTTTGTCTGGACTCAGGAATTAAGACTTTACCACTTCCCTTTAAATACTTCAATTTGTGGAAGCTTCACCCAGAATATGAGAACTTGGTTACAGAGGAATGACTTTGTTCTACGACAGGCTCTGCCATGGCACAGTTGTATCAAAGGTTACGAAACATCAAGGTTTGCCTGAGGGGATTGAATAGTGAGAGAGAGTTATTCAGATATACATGAAAGAGTAAGACTGGCACTGAAGGAACTAGCAAGAGCTCAAATAGAAGTGTTGGAGCGCCCTGCCTCCTCAGCTTTCCAAGCTGAAAAGAGGTGTATGGTCCAGCTTCTAGAGCTTCAAAAAGCAGAGGAATCATTTAACAAGCAGAAATCGAGACAACAATGGGCGAACGGTGGAGACTCCAATTCCAAGTTCTTTCATAGCATGGTTAAAACTAGACAAGCTAAGAATACTATAAGGCAGCTAGTCACTGAATCTAGAACTGTCCTAGAAGATATCGAGGAGATTGGCCGGGAAGCTGTTCAGTTTTATCGATCATTACTGGGTATGAGGAATTCAAATCTGAAACGAGTCACGGTGGAAACATTAAATAGTTGCTAGCATTTCACTTTGAAGAAGAAGATGAAGACCTGTGCTCTATGGTTACAACTGAAGAGTTACAACGAGTAGTAAAAAGCACGAAGAAGGACAAAGCACCTGGGCCAGATGGCTTTACAACATAATTCTTTCAAGAGCACATGGGGCTAGTGGGAACGAAAGTCATTAAGGCAATTCAAGAGTTCTTCCTTACTGGGAGAATAAGGAGGGAAGTAAATTGCACAATCCCAGACTCTTATTCCAAAGGTACCAAATGCTAACACCATGAAGAATTTTTGCCCCATTTCCTACTGCAATTTTGTATATAAGTGCATCTCTAAAATACTAGCTAACAGGTTGAAGCAAGTATTACCAAAAGTGATTAGTCCAAACCAGTCTGCATTCATTAAGGGAAGACTAATAACTGACAATATAGTTTTGGCTAATGAGCTGGTGAGGTGGTATAGAAGGAAAAATGTGTCCTCTAGGTGTGCTCTTAAGATAGACATAATGAAAGCTTTTGACAGTGTGGATTGGGATTTTCTTTACTGTGTGCTGCTTGCAATGAGGATCCCAGAAAGATTTTTCAATTGGATTAAGGGTTGTCTTGAATCTACTAGTTTTACTGGTTGGATAAATGGGGGGCTTATTGGCCATTTTCAAGCTCATAAAGGGTTGAGGCAGGGGTGTCCCCTTTCTCCCTACTTAATTGCAGCTAGCATGGAGATTCTTAGTTGTATGCTGAACAGGGAAGCAACTAGATCAGTGCTACCATACCACCCTTAGTGCAGTCGAATAGGTCTCACCCATCTATGTTTTGCAGTGACATGTTGGTATTCACTAAAGGGTCTGTAGAAGGAGTAACAGTGATTGATGAAATCCTTCAGAAATTCTACTTAGTGTCTGGTTTGCAGTGTAACCCTAGCAAAAGTGAAATTTTTAGTGCTGGAGTGACAGAGCAATTAAAAGGGGAACTAGTGCGACATTCAGGATTCAGGGAAGGGGAATTGCCAGTCAGGTATCTAGGGCTGCCATTGAATGCTGGGAAACTGACTGCTGAAGACTGTAAGTCCTTGATTAGCAGGATAACATGGAGGATTTTAGGCTGGCAACCAAAGCTGCTGTCTTATGCAGGGAAGCTAGAGTTTGTAGTCTCTGTACTATCCAGTATGTCCCAGTACTGGATGAATGTTATTCTACTGCCTAATAAGGTTATAAAAGAAATAGAGAATCTATGTTCACAGTTTCTTTGGAGTGACTTTGAGAAGAAGAAGCGAGCCAAGTTTGCCTGGAAAACAGTGGCTCTCCCTCGAACAGAAGGTGGTATGGGGTTCAAAGACTTACACTCCTGGAACAAAGCTTGCCTAGCTCGACATTTCTGGGGAATCCTATCTGACCAGGATACCCTATGGATAGCATGGTTAAATGAGTATCGACTTCGTGATCATAGCATCTGGGAAGTACAAACGATGGGATCCTGGGTGTGGAACAAGATACTAAAAATTTGAGGTTTGGTAGAAGGAAGGGTATGCAAAACTGATCGTGGCATAGAATGGGATGGGGAGCTAATGCAGAAGTTCCAAATTAGCAAAGTATGGCATGGTCTGCGACCAAGAGGAGATCCAGTGCAATAGTCTGGATTGGTTTGGAAAGGAGGCATCCCTAAAAACTCAGTATTAACCTAGCTTATTATTATTGATAGAGTCAATACACTAGATAAAATTAGAAGGTGGAATCCTGATGTGTGTACTACCTGTTCTCTATGTGGTAGTGTAGAAGAAACAAAAGAACATATATTCTTCTTGTGTGAGTATGTACAGGAAGTATGGAGTACAGTTTTCCCTAGTTCTTGCCAGCTCCCTTTGTCAAGCTCACTGCATCAAGCAGCATTGCAGGCAACTCAGAAGTTGGGGAAGTGCAGAGTTGGAAGGATCTTGTGGTGCTTGGTAGTCAGTGAAGTTTGGAGAGAACGCTGCCGCAGATTATATGGCCAAAAGCGATTAACAGCAGCAACTTTGGCTCAGAAGATGCAGAGGGTCATGGAAGCAAAAACTCATGGGGACCAGAGTGTTGCTAGTTCTCCTGCCGCTCAAAAACTGTGGTATATAGGGAGCTAATCGATGTAGTTTGTGTATGGTTTACTAGAGTTGCTATTTGTACAGTCTGATAGGAACAAAAAAACACTGCTTGTATTCCCTGATCGTATTTGATGAATAAAACCACCCATTCATCGGAAGAAAATCCTTGTATTCCTACAAACTACAAAATCATGTAACCTAATAAATGAAAAGTTGTAAGACATAAATAAACCCAAAATGTACTATTTGATTCTTGGTGAAGAATTGTGTGATTAGAGGAACTCACTTAGTTGATTCATAAAGCTAGGTATATCATGATGATTCACTTTGTAAATAATTACAGTTATTAATTAATTCGATGATTGATTGTTGCGGTGAATAGTCCTATGATTTTGAGATATTTTAGTATTTTCTCTTTAATTCAAAAAATACATAAACATTGTTATAATCCAGTTGGTTAGGGATATTCATTATCAATCTGAAGGACTCAAGTTCAAGTCTTTGTAATGACATTTTTTTCTCATAAGAAGATATTTAAGTTCTAAGTTGAACTTACAAATTTACCCCTAGCTACAATTAAGGAGAGTGTAAGGAATTTGAAATGCTCAAACTCTTCTGAAGTAAAACTATATATTATAGAGGGAAGGGACAAGCATGTATGTACGTACTCGGCCTGTTGGCCGCCATTTTCAATTACGTCAAATTATATACTTTTTACTAATTATATACTATTATTTATTTAAAGGGGGAGTAGCACCAGTTTATACATCTGCCACTGTTTGATGTAGATTCCCTGGATAGAGCTGATCCTTGGGTTTGCCCTGGATTCTCGACGCAGTGTTTTGATCTTGATACGGATTGGGAATGACTTACCATTCTACCTGAACTTTGAAGCCCATCTTTTCCATTAATAGTTTTGTTTTGCTATGTCCTGTATTCTGAGGGCCACCATTTTCCATGCTATACAAACAATGGTCTAGTGTTGGTCTCGTCTATTTGCGGTTACTTCTATAGTTCTACTCTTGTTTGTGCAGCAGCTTGCGCTGTTTTGGTAACCTTTTAATCAATAATATGATATGACCTTTATAAAAAATGTACTTAATCAGCACAAATTATATTTTTGTAGTTTGAGATTTTTATTATCAATATGGTACAATTTCACACAGCTTGTTCGCGTTGACTAATGAATTTCGTAGCAATAATAATAGACTCATTGTTAAGAAATTAAATTGGTTTAAATTTTTTATCTGAGTTATTTTCACTTGGTTTCTCTTGGGTTATGAAGGTTCGAGACATGTAAATATATTTTTTATAAATCATAAGCATCCAAGTCATAATAATTTCCAAGTTACATGACTATACGGATTCGAATAAATAAATCTTAGGTTGTATCTTAACCCACGGGTAATAAATACTAAAAATGCAGTTAGTATTTATATGTGGGTATCAAAATTGGGTGACCATAAACTAATTGATTAAACTCTATAAGTTCTAATCTCATTTTTTATGGAGGTTTGTTAACTTTTTGCTTTCACATAGATTAGGATTTCAGGATTTAGTCTGTGAACCTAATCAAGAGTTATCTAACTTTTATTGATTCATTTTCTTGAAAATTCTTGTTTCTTGGTCAAGTATCTCAAGTCAAGGTTTGACATTTGTTTGTGGGGAGAGTAAATTGAAATTGAAAATTTAATAATTAGAGTCCACTGGCTAGTTGGCTAATTTATTTTTGTTCTTCTTGCGCTCGATCTATTTAGTGAATATTTTTTCATATTAAAAGAATTGACTAAAAATTTTTCCTTACCCATTTTCCGGTTGACCGCTATATCACGCAAACTCTTCTGACTCGATATCATCTTTGCCACTCAACATCATCTTACGGAAATTTGATAGCTGACTAATATTTTGTAATTTTAAAGGTTTGGATCATATTTTATGAATATTGAAAGATTTGACTATTAAATTATATTTATTTTTTAAAAATTCATAATACATATTGATTTACAGATTTATTGTGTTAAAAGCATCCACATCAATGATATTTGATTAATTGCAAATCCTACATGTCACTCATTATGCAATTGCAGATGAGATTGCAACAATGTAATGCACAACTACAAAGATGAAAACTTGCATTTGATGAATTCAATATGCAAGCCACATGGGAAAGTAAAAATATTATTATTTCTTTCCTTCTTCGTTTATTTACTTTTATTGTGAAATCAATTGCGTGCACTACTTATGCAATTGCAAATGAAATTACACAGATGTAGGTATAATGAAATTAATATGAGTTGAATTGTATAAATTGTAAAGTGGCAATATAAATATGATATTGAATTGTTTTATGTAAATGCTCTTAAAAAAAACATTTAACAATTTCACATATGAAATGTTTGTACATTCAACAATAAATATGAATTCTTCAAAATTAATATAAAGTTTAAACCTCGTAAAATATTATCATCACGGTAATATTTTTTATATACTTTTTTTTTACAAAAGATAATATTAAATCAAGACAAAGATAATTATATCCTGGAATTCAGCCAGGTCTGGAAATCAAAGAAGCGACTCATATACAGATACAAAGAAAGGGCCTTTCTAGCCACCAAATGGGCTACCCTATTGCTACCATGACCTACAAATCGAATACTAAAACCAGGATGAGCAGCCAAATAATGCACGATTTCTTCAAGAACAACACCCATCCGGTTATCTCTGGCGTCGGCCCGATTGACTTTGTCGATGATCACCTTACCATCGCCTTCAAAAATGACGTATGTGAAACCAAGGTCAAGACACCATAAAATAGCCTCGCAGAGCACAAGTAATTCGACCACCATAGGATCATCAATCAACTGGAACTGAATCCCCTTGGCCAGGAGGACCTCTCTGGCCCAGTTGAACATAATCATCCCGCCTGCCTAGTGAGACCCCCTCCTAGTAGCCCCATCCCACATACAAATAGGCCTAGTAGCCCCACAGGATCCAACTGGTCAACGACGTGAATCACAGCCAGAGCCGCACGATCAAGTGGCAAACCAAGCCATTCCTCATACTGTTGGTGAAATTGTCACATCAACCCAGGAATGTCGAACTGTTTGCCTTCAAAGCCAACCCAGTTACGAGACCTCCAGATCCGCCAAATGACGACAATAATTTCCATGAACAATGAGGGATGATTAACCAAAGCCAGGAGCTTTTTAAGGAACAACGGAAAGGTATGACGAGGCAACCCCTCCCCCAAATACTCCAGACTCAGAACTCTCCAAGCAAATCAGACACCAAGGATGAACCATGACTTTCTTCTCAATGAGAGCTTTCGTGGTTGGAAGTGCTAGATTGAGAATCTGCCAGACAAAGACTTTAAGCTTTGGGGGAATATTTGCTTCTCACAAACGAATCCAGCTAGTCTTATCCATCCAACTAGTCGTTGACTTCCACCCACCCCTCCTCCTATCAAGGAGACAACCAGATGGTAAGCCAATTTGACCAAGAAAATCCCGTCAGTTGTATCATGCCAGATTGGTCTATCCTCCACATTCTAACGTGGAATAGGAATTGCTTTGATTCCGGCAGGTAGACGGGTCAAACCATTGGCTAAGTTTAAGGTCACACTAGCGCCCCTCCCTCTGGAAAATAACCTCCGCAACTGGCGGATCCCCCCAAACCGGTAAGACCTGAGGTTTATACCCAGGGGGATCCAACTGGCACCGAGGTATCTAGTTAGAATGAAGCAAGGAGGAAGACTGAAACGACCTGATCTTTTTGGACAATTCAAACCCAAACTTTAAAACAAAAACCGGTTACTCCGGAGCACCCAAACCATGTTTTAAAGTTAAACCAAAAATCAACCAACGATAGTAACCAAAAATCTCAACGAAAAGCCCTAAACAGTTGGGAAAGTCTCAATCCAAACACTTGAACAGAAAACCTGAGTTCCCCAGTATACTCATAGAACAGGAAATAAAGACAAATATGATAAAAAGGGTCCCATCTCAATACCCTGATCCTTCCGACATCTTCAAGCTTGACGCGGTTGCCCTCCTTGATTAATCTCCTGGTGCTGGTTATGTCCTCTTCCCCTTTCCACACCTGGTGAGTGAGAAGGGGTCAGTCTCGTCGTTACTTTCTAAGGTCTTTGCCTAAGCAAGCCCTACTAACACATTATTAGAAATTACTTCCTCCCACATGAAAGCCGTTCTCGCTTTCATCCTTAATATTTTAGTCTCTAATAGCTTATAGAAGTTCTGTACTTCTATCTTACTTTATATACTTATTATTTGGGTTCACCGCGTTACGTATCGCCGTCCGGTGTCCCTATCCTCAAGGCAATGGTACTGCGTTACGTATCGCCGTCCAGTCCATGCCCGGTCAACTACTGCGTTACGTATCGCCGTCCAGTAGTGACCTGACCATCTACCGCGTCCAGTAGTGGCCCAACCCCCCGGGGGTTCATCTTACCATCAACCATACATCACAAACATACACATACACAGCACAACGCGTGCCTCCACCTTAAGTAGGCGGTGGGATGCCTCACACACACAATCGCGCTTACTTGAAAATGAAATAACATAACTGAATTAAAAAGGCATAAACTGAAAGACCTCGACGGAGATTTTACGCCCTTTACACTCACCTCCCAAGTGCCAATACTTTACTTCCTTTGATGTGGGGTCCCTTAATTTGATCGCCTCCTTGATCCTATAAATCGAGATTAAATTTCCCTTAGTCGCTATTTCCCAAAACTTCCCGTTCTCCTAGCTTAGTCCCATAATTCCTTAAGAAGGTCTTAACTCATCCTAACTAATTAAATAATCTCTTGCATAAATCTCCTAAAAATTCTCATGAACTTTCCAAAAGAAATCCATTACCCCTCAAACTACAAATTCTGACTTCTAATTACTTAAAAACATAAACCAAAATTATTAACTACAATTTGCACCTTAATTAACCCCTCCTTCTTATTTAATTTAGCATAACTAATTTTTTTTAGCCTATGCTACAAATGCCTAAAATTCTGGTATTCACTTTTCTAACGTAGAAGATATACTCTAGCTTCACCTAAAATTAAAAATGTAATAGAAATATTCTTACAACACTTTAATAATTTAAAACCGACACCATCTGAATTTTTTATAAGTAGCGAGTCCACTCTAAAAATTACCAAATAATTTATGAACAAACATATGTGTATATTGTTTATACTAAAATTATCAAATCTAGTAAAAACATTCGCATACTATTTTATTTAACTAAAATAGTCTTCCCACAAATTTTTGTAATTAGGACGACAGCTCCAAAAATTCTTGAATTAATATCCAAACACCCTATTGATTTTTTCTTATTTATAAAATTACCCCACCACGAAAATACCCACTGTAAGGCAACAAAAAAAAATAATCTAGGGAAAACCCCATTTTCGATCTATATAAAAAGTTTAAAACTCCGGGGACTAAGCTGCTCGTACTGGATATATGGGGAGCTAGCATGGACATTTTCTCACAGACTGAAATGAAATTACCCCCTAAGTCCTTATACTTTTCGAACAGACAGTAATGGTACCTGAACTATCCGATTCACGTCTCAAGCTTTAGAGGCTCGTATTTTCCTCGTCCGACGTCGAAACTCGATTCCGTCAAAACCGGGGTGTTCCTGAGATCGCTCTCTATGAGATGATACCAAGGTTTTGAGGCTTTATTGAGTTCGAGTACGCCGGGGTCGCCGTTGGAGCTACGTTCATTACATGATTCGTCGGGTTACTCGAGTCCTAAAACGAGGTTAAGGATCGATGAGACGGAAGACCTTACCTCTTGATGTCAAGAGAAGACGATGTCGTCGAGCGTCTCTGTGACGACCTACTCTGCCTTCCCGTTGCTGGTCATGCTTGCTGCTGCTCTTGGTCGATTAGGAAGAGACGAGAGCGAGAAGGAGAGATCGGGTGGGGTTTCTATCTTCTCGCTATGATCTTCGTTGGGGAAGAGAGAATGGTAGCGGTGTAACGGCTTGAGGAGGCAGAATAAATGGGGAAGCCGGATGGGGTTACAGCTATAACGTGCTTTGGGGGTTTTTTTTTTCTTTTCTTATTGCTGCTGGTGACCACGTGTGGGGGAAAGGTGATTCTTTTAATAATAACAATACTAATGATTTGTTGTTATGATGATGGGGAAACGAAGGGTAATGGTGAATATTATAATGATGATGATAATAATAATAACAATAAGATTTATTATTATAATTATTATTATCTCTAATTTAGGGTTGAACCAATCGTACGCTAACCGTCGATCCAACTTCTTTGTCGAACCTAGACCCAAATGTCGGGGTGTTGCATTTCCTCCACCCTTATAAAAATTTCGTCCCCGAAATTTGAATTATAGCATAATTACTGATACGATGCAGCACAATCGCGTATACTATACACCGCTTTATTTGAAGGAAACTGCTCTAGCCGGGATATAGCATTTCCTCCCCCTTCAGAAAATTTCGACCTCGAAATTGTAGTCTAAACGGAGTGTTAGCTATAATGGAATAGAACTGAACTACTAGATCTATTATTGAAATATCGAGAAACGAGGGCTAAACGTGAACGTACAATGGTATCTACCAACTGCTGGTCTAAGCATCGTTAAACAACTCTGGATACTTCTCTCTCATGCTACTCTCCGTCTCCCATGTTGCAGCCTCTCTGCCCTGGTTCCTCCATATCACCTTCACCATGGCAATCTTCTTCCTCCTCAACTCCTTTTCCTGCCTATCCACGATCTGGGTTGGGACCTCCTCATATGTCAAATCGTCCTCCAACTGGATGTCTTCATGCCTGATCACGTGCCCAGGTTTGGATCGATACGCCCTTAGCATGCTGACATGAAAAACATCGTGGATTCTCGACAGGCTAGGGGGTAAGGCTAATCGATAAGCCAAAGGTCCCACACGTTCCAACACCTCGTATGGTCCAATGTACCTCGGGCTGAGCTTCCCCTTTTTGCCAAACCGCATCACTCCTTTCCAAGGGGACACCCTAAGAAAAACTCTATCTCCCACCTGATGTTGGCGAGGGACTCCAGGCCTCTCGAGGTTACTCTTCTGTCGGTCCTGAGCCGCCTTCAAATTCTTACGAATTAATTCAATCTTCTCCATGGCCTTTTGCATCATCTCAGGGCCCTCTAATTGCCTCACTCCTTCAGCATCCCAATACAACGGAGTACGACACTTTCTCCCATACAGAACCTCATATGGAGCTGCTTGTATCGAACTGTGATACTGGTTATTATAAGCGAACTCTAGCAGAGGCAAATGTTCATCCCAAGCTCCCTCCATGGTCATAACACAAGCCCTCAAAAGATCCTCCAGCGTCTGTATCGTCCGCTCGGATTGACCATCGGTTTGAGGATGGTATGCAGTAGAGAAATGCACCTTTGTACCCATAGCCTTCTGCAGACTAACCCAGAATCGCGACGTGAAACTAGGATCACGATCAGAAACAATACTAAGTGGCACCCCATGTAGTCTTACGATCTCTCTCACGTACAACCTCGCCAACTCCTCCATCCCGGGCTTGAACCTGATGGGTATAAAATGGGCCACCTTCGAGAAGCGATCAACAATCACCCAGACACCGTCATTTCCCCTCGGGGTCCTTGGAAAACCATATACAAAGTCCATAGTGACCTTCTCCCATGTCCATTGCGGAATCTCCAATGGTAAGTGTTCGATGATTGGGGCTTGATGCTCAGCTTTAATCATCTGACACTCCAAGCATTGATAAACGTGAGCTGCGACCCCCTTCTTCATACCGGGCCACCAATAATGCTCCTTGAGGGTGCGATACATCTTGGTTGCCCCGGGATGCATCGCATAGGGAGCAGAATGAGCCTCATCCAGTATGTCCTCCCTCAACTTGTCGACATCAGGTACACAAAGCCTTCCTCGAAACATCAACACTCCATCCACCAGCTCAAACTTAGTGTTCTTTCTCTCCCGTATCTGCTTCCGGTACTTTTCAAACTCCACATCACCACCTTGCTTCTCCTTGATCCGCTCCTGTAGCATGGGACGAATCCTTAGAGTTGCTAACAACTTTGTTGCCTCCTCCAGCTCCAACTCCACGTTCATGGCCCTCAACGAGACCAACTCGGGTAGAGGACTCTCCTTCTTCCGGCTTAGAGCATCGGCCACCACATTAGCCTTCCCAGGGTGATACCTAATTGTGCAGTCATAGTCACTGAGAAGCTCCATCCACCTCCTCTGCCTCATATTTAGCTCCTTTTGATCGATCATGTGTTGGAGACTCTTATGATCAGTGAAAACAGTGAAAGTCTCTCCATAGAGATAATGCCTCCATAACTTCAAAGCGAAAACCACCGCTGCCAACTCCAAGTCATGAGTGGGGTAGTTCACCTCATGAGGCCGTAGCTGTCTCGAAGCATAGGCGATTACCTTCTTGTTCTGCATCAGTACACAACCCAAGCCTTGATAGGAAGCATAACTATAGATTGAATACTCCCCACCGGTGGTTGGTAGTGCTAACACCGGTGCAGAGGTTAGCTTTTCCTTAAGTAACTCGAACGCCGCTTGACACTTCTCGTCCCAAACAAATGCCTTCCCTTTTTGTAACAGCTGAGTCATGGGTCTTGCAATACTGGAGAAACCTTCCACGAACCGCCGATAATAACCAGCCAATCCCAAGAAATTCCGCACTTCTGGGACGTTCTTGGGTGGCGCCCAATTAGTCACAGCTTCTATCTTCTTGGGATCCACCTCAACTCCTCGCCCTGAAACGACATGCCCCAAAAACAAGACTTCTTCTAGCCAAAACTCACACTTGGAGAACTTGGCATACAGTTTCTCCTCTTTCAACCTCTGGAGGACCATCCTCAAATGCTTCTCATGCTCCTCCTGACTCCTAGAGTAGATTAGGATGTCATCGATGAAAACAATGACAAAATTGTCCAGATAATCATGGAGGACCCGATTCATTAAGGCCATGAAGGCGGCTGGAGCATTGGTCAGCCCAAACGGCATAACCAAAAACTCGTAGTGACCATACCGAGTACGGAAGGCAGCCAGTCTTAGGGACGGAACCGTCTGCCACCCTCAGCTGATGGTAGCCAGATCTTAAATCGATCTTTGAGAACACCTTTGCTCCCTGAAGCTGATCGAAGAGGTCGTCTATCCTCGGTAGAGGATAGCGGTTCTTGATGGTGGCCTTATTCAGTTTCCGGTAGTCGATGCACAATCTCATTGTGCCATCCTTCTTCTTTACAAACAACACGGGTGCTCCCCATGGCGATACACTAGGACGTATGAAGCCCTTGTCTAGCAGCTCTTGCAACTGTTCCTTCAACTCCTTCAACTCCACTGGTGCCATCCAGTAAGGGGGAATGGATATAGGTGCCATGCCCGGGATCACTTCGATGTCAAACTCCACCTCCCTAGGTGGCGGCAACCCAGGGAGATCCTCCGGAAATACCTCGGGATACTCCCTTACAACAGGGACATCCCCCAACTTCTTCTCTTGTATCACCTTGACATGACACAGATAGGCTTCACATCCTTCTTGGATTAGGGTGAAGGCTTTTACTGCAGAAATCAGGCTTCCAGGGATCATCTTCCTCGTTCCCTTGAATAGAGCGGTGCCCTTGCCCTCAATTTCGAAGCTAACTTCCTTCCTATAACAATCTACCTTTGCCCGGTTCTTGGATAACCAGTCCATACCCAAGATAACGTCAAACTCACCAAAGGGCAGTAGAACCAAATTGGCCTCGAGCTCATGTCCAGCTACTGTAACTGGACAATCGCGGATGATCGAGTCTACAATCAATTGCTCCCCCACCGGGGTGCTTACCCCTAGATTTTGGCCTAACTTCACATGAGGCAACTCTAAAGCTCTCGCAAACTTGGTCGAAACAAAAGAATGCGTGGAACTGGAATCAACAAGGACAAAAGCAGGGTACTTGTAAAGGTAAATCATACCAGTCACCACCTCAGGTGCTGCCTCCGCTTCATCTCTCCTCATGGCAAAAAGCCTCGGTTGTCCCCCTGTTGGAGGCCCCTGGTTTCTGCCTCGATCGTTGCGGTCAAATCGCCCAGTACTCCCTCCCTGACTGCGAAAAGAGCGGCTTTGCTGACCACCAAACTGAGGTACTGTGTAAGTCCTTCCTCCTCCGCCTCTGACCGACTGTTCAGATGGTGCTCTCCTTTGCCGCCTCTCCTAGGACACTCTCTGGCAAAATGACCCGGCTCGTTGCAGTAGTAGCAGACTCCTAGATGTTGTTTGCATACCCCGGAGTGGTCCCTCACGCACTGATTGCAGGGAAACCTGTTGCTGAAGGTTTGACCAGGTCGAACCGAACCGCTTTGACTTTGAGTACCCCCAAAATTAAAGGTACCACTCGGCCTCCTCCTGAACTGACTCGACTGGCCAGCTCCCTCAGGCATGCTACTTGCCTTCCTCTTGTTATTCTCTCGTTGCACCGCTTCTTCATGTGAGGTTGCCTCGGCCCTCTCTATTCGGAGAGCCGCCTGATAAATTTCCTCTCTGTTGTTCCACATCAGCATACTCAACTGCTTCTTAAGGGCAGGCTTTAGACTCTCTAAATAGTGGACACGCTGGGCTGCCTCTCCTTGGAATTGGGGTCCTCCATAGGGCAGTAGCTTCTCGAACCGCGAGGTATACTCCGCAATGCCCTCCTTGCCATCATTGCCCCACCTCTGCTTGATCAATATGAACTCCCTCTGCTTGCCGAGACGGTAGGCCTCGGGCACAAAATGGTCGCGGAATATCTGCACCAGCTCTGGCCAGGTGATGGCTGGTGGGTCCACTCGACTGGCTGGTTGGGTGGTCCACCAATTGTATGCCGCTTCTTGCAGTAGGGATACCATCAGGAGTACCCTATCCTCATCATCTGCCCGCATTTCGTTCAACGTGCGAGTGACCTTCGCCAGCCATTTCTCCACCTCACTTGCATCCGTCGAGCGATCCCCATCAAAGTCCACTACTCCTCTCCTTCGGAAAGCAATGTAATCCGGGGGGTTCCTAGCCGCCACGGAATTAACATGAACGTTACTTGCTCTGCTAGTAAGTAGTACCCTTGTCAGAACCACATTTATTTGTCCTATCATGCTTGAGTATACTGGAAACTCTATAAGCCTCTTCAAATCGGTTGGCCAACCACTTTTTTTTTTCCAGAAAACTCCCTTTCCCCGTTAAAACTTAACCTTTGAAAACTCAGATCATCATTCCAGTATTTCTTGGAGACCAAGAAACAGAGGAATGCCGTCTCTGATACCAAAATGAAACGACCCGATCTTTTTGGACAATTCAAACCCAAACTTTAAAACAAAAACCGGTTACTCCGGAGCACCCAAACCATGTTTTAAAGTTAAACCAAAAATCAACCAACGATAGTAACCAAAAATCTCAACGAAAAGCCCTAAACAGTTGGGAAAGTCTCAATCCAAACACTTGAACAGAAAACCTGAGTTCCCCACAGGAAATAAAGACAAATATGATAAAAAGGGTCCCATCTCAATACCCTGATCCTTCCGACATCTTCAAGCTTGACGCGGCTGCCCTCCTTGATTAATCTCCTGGTGCTGGTTATGTCCTCTTCCCCTTTCCACACCTGGTGAGTGAGAAGGGGTCAGTCTCGTCGTTACTTTCTAAGGTCTTTGCCTAAGCAAGCCCTACTAACACATTATTAGAAATTACTTCCTCCCACATGAAAGCCGTTCTCGCTTTCATCCTTAATATTTTAGTCTCTAATAGCTTATAGAAGTTCTGTACTTCTATCTTACTTTATATACTTATTATTTGGGTTCACCGCGTTACGTATCGCCGTCCGGTGTCCCTATCCTCAAGGCAATGGTACTGCGTTACGTATCACCGTCCAGTCCATGCCCGGTTAACTACTGCGTTACGTATCGCCGTCCAGTAGTGACCTGACCATCTACCGCGTCCAGTAGTGGCCCAACCGCCCGGGGGTTCATCTTACCATCAACCATACATCACAAACATACACATACATAGCACAACGCGTGCCTCCACCTTAAGTAGGCGGTGGGATGCCTCACACAAACAATCGCGCTTACTTGAAAATGAAATAACATAACTGAATTAAAAAGGCATAAACTGAAAGACCTCGACGGAGATTTTACCCCCTTTACACTCACCTCCCAAGTGCCGATACTTTACTTCCTTTGACGTGGGGTCCCTTAATTTGATCGCCTCCTTGATCCTATAAATCGAGATTAAATTTCCCTTAGTCGCTATTTCCCAAAACTTCTCGTTCTCCTAGCTTAGTCCCATAATTCCTTAAGAAGGTCTTAACTCATCCTAACTAATTAAATAATCTCTTGCATAAATCTCCTAAAAATTCTCATGAACTTTCCAAAAGAAATCCATTACCCCTCAAACTACAAATTCTGACTTCTAATTACTTAAAAACATAAACCAAAATTTTTAACTACAATTTGCACCTTAATTAACCCCTCCTTCTTATTTAATTTAGCATAACTAATTTTTTTTAGCCTATGCTACAAATGCCTAAAATTCTGGTATTGACTTTCTAACGTAGAAGATATACTCTAGTTTCACCTAAAATTAAAAATGTAATAGAAATATTCTTACAACACTTTAATAATTTAAAACCGACACCATCTGAATTTTTTTATAAGTAGCGAGTCCACTCTAAAAATTACCAAATAATTTATGAACAAACATATGTGTATATTGTTTATATTAAAATTATCAAATCTAGTAAAAACATTCGCATACTATTTTATTTAACTAAAATAGTCTTCCCACAAATTTTTGTAATTAGGACGACAGCTCCAAAAATTATTGAATTAATATCCAAACACCCTATTGATTTGTTCTTATTTATAAAATTACCCCACCACGAAAATACCCACTGTAAGGCAACAAAAAAATAATAATAATCTAGGGAAAACCCCATTTTCGATCTATATAAAAAGTTTAAAACTCCGGGGACTAAGCTGCTCGTACTGGAAATATGGGGAACTAGCATGGACATTTTCTCACAGACTGAAATGAAATTACCCCCTAAGTCCTTATACTTTTCGAACAGACAGTAATGGTACCTGAACTATCCTATTCACGTCTCAAGCTTTAGAGGCTCGTATCTTCCTCGTCCGACGTCGAAACTCGATTCCGTCGAAATCGGGGTGTTCCTGAGATCGCTCTCTATGTGATGGTACCAAGGTTTTGAGGCTTTATTGAGTTCGAGTACGCCGGGGTCGCCGTTGGAGCTACGTTCATTACATGATTCGTCGGGTTACTCGAGTCCTAAAACGAGCTTAAGGATCGATGAGACTGAAAACCTTACCTCTTGATGTCAAGAGAAGACGATGTCGTCGAGCGTCTCTGTGACGACCTACTCTGCCTTCCCGTTGCTGGTCATGCTTGCTGCTGCTCTTGGTCGATTAGGAAGAGACGAGAGCGAGAAGGAGAGATCGGGTGGGGTTTCTATCTTCTCGCTATGATCTTCGTTGGGGAAGAGAGAATGGTAGCGGTGTAACGGCTTGAGGAGGCAGAATAAATGGGGAAGCCGGATGGGGTTATAGCTATAACGTGCTTTGGGGGTTTTTTTTTCTTTTCTTATTGCTGCTGGTGACCACGTGTGGGGGAAAGGTGATTCTTTTAATAATAACAATACTAATGATTTGTTGTTATGATGATGGGGAAACGAAGGGTAATGGTGAATATTATAATGATGATGATAATAATAATAACAATAAGATTTATTATTATAATTATTATTATCTCTAATTTAGGGTTGAACCAATCGTACGCTAACCGTCGATCCAACTTCTTTGTCGAACCTAGACCCAAATGTCGGGGTGTTGCACAGACTGGGCATTACCAACTTGCCATCTTAAACCCATTTCCAACAACTGATATCTAAACAGGATGCTCTCCCAACCCCACAAAGATTAGGAGCGAGCCGTAGCTGTGAGGAAGGACCCATTCGGGAAGTACTTTCCTTTATAAACATGGGCCAAAAGGGACTGAGGCTCGTTAAGGATAGCCATCCGATTTTTTCCAAGTGGGTCTGATTGAAATGCTCAAATCGGCAAAATCCCATCCCCCCGTCATGTTTACTCCTACACATGTTGCGCCAGGACATCCAACGCACCTTAGCATGGCTTGGATCATCACCCCACCAGAACCGGGCCACATGTTTGTCCAAAAGATGACAAAGAGAGAGAGAGAGAGAGAGAGCTTGAAATAGGACATCACGTGCAATGACAACACCAAAGCAATTGACTTAATTAATGTGTCCTTAGCCGCCCAAGATAATGTCCTTTGCTTCCATCTCTGAGGGGCGTTCTAACAGCTTCGCCTCGAGATAGCGGAAATTCTCCATTTTAGAACAGGAAATCAGCGTCGGTAAACCAAGATATTTATCATGGACCTCGACCGCACCGACCCCTAAAATCGCAGCTTGAAATTCTTGGTCTGGCAGAGCAATAATTTTACTAAAGCATATAGCCGACTTAGCCAAATTCACTCGCTGGCCACTATGTTTCTCATATTCGTTTAAGACCACTATCAAATTCTCACACTCCTGGAGCGTACCTCTCAGAAAAAGGTATGAATCATCAGCAAAGAATAAGTGTGAGATTCTAGGGGCACGTGGAGCCACTTTAACACCCTTAAGTTTCTTCTCCGAGATATCCTTATGAAGGAGAGCCGCAAACCCCTCCGTGAAGATCACAAATAGGAGAGGGGAGAGAGGATCACCCTGTCGTAACCCCCTAGACGGAGTGAAGTAACCCGATGGAGTGCCATTCATAAGAACTGAAAATGACGATGATCGCAGACATTCTTGGATCCATCCTCGCCAGACATAATTAAAACCCATTTTATCCAAAACCGCAAGAAGAAACAGCCATTAGACTCTATCATTGGCCTTTTCCATGTCAACCTTTAGAGCCATGTACCCTTTCCTACCTTGTTTTTTGATTTTTAGGTAATGCATTAACTTGTGTCCAAGGAGGATATTCTCATTATTTGGCACTCCCTAATGAATGCATTTTGTCCCTCGGAGATGATAAAGGGGAGGAGACAAGCAAGCCTCTCAGCCATGATCTTGGTTATAATTTTATAAACAAACTGACATAAGCTGATAGGACGCAATTGCTTCATGATGACTTGATATATACACATGTTTTTGTCCACCATTCTTGTACCGTTTGAGTCTTAATTCTCGTGTTTTAGGCCGATTTCACGCTAGGTTGTTCTTGTTTGTGATATTTCAGGTCCTAGTACGTGAATGCATGTTTGGGAATGAGTTCGGGGTCAATTGGACGAAGATTGGACGTTTGGCGAGAAGCTGAGGCACTCACACGGGCACACCTAAAATTCCACACGGCCGTGTGACTTGGCCGTGTGGCACCACTTTGCATGGGCAAGCCACACTGGCCGTGTGGAAAGTCCAGGGAGCTCACACGGCCAGACTGGAAATCCACACGACCGTGTGCTTCTAGCCCTGCAGCGTGCCTGAAGTCTACTAATCAAAACGCGGCGTTTCCATTTTCACACGGGCAAACTGGGAATCCACACAGCCGTGTGGTCGGGAAATTCTGGGTTCTTAACCCAATTTCGAGCCAAAGGAGGGGGAGCCGAGTTTTAGAGAGAAAAAGCGTATACCTAGAGAGAGAAAGTGACGAACCTGATTCTTCAAGTGCCTTAGATCGATCTCCATCACCATTGGAGCCCGGCTTGGGCTTGAAGAAGAGCTGATTGAGTGCCAGAAGCAGAATCTCATCCTTCACAGTATGGTTTCCGCATCTGAGCTAGATTTCCCCTCTCTCTCTATGGAGTAACTTTCTTATTCACCTGGGTATGAAGAACCCTAAATTTGTAAGTTAGGTATGATTGTATGAACCCAAGTATAGATTTAGTGATATGATTATATTCAATTGAGGTTTGATTTCTTGAATGACATGAATCCTGAACAAATTCCCGTTGTTTCTGCTTTAACCTAGAAAGAGAATATCTGCCTAGGTTGATAGAGCACCCTTGATTGAAGGTAGTGAATTGACGACTTTAGTCGAGGAGTTGATTCACTATCCTGTACCGGATTTACTTCGGTAGTGGAGGTTTGGTTTGTTAGGGCCTCAATCTATTTACTCCGGTGGAGGTTAGTCGCCCGCTGGGGACTCAGATTGAGAGGGTCCGGAGACCTTTAGTCGAGACTGCGGACTGTTTAAGAACCTCCCGCAGTATAACTATCTTTGAATTTGAACTTGGTAAATTACAATCCGGCTTAACTGCAGTCTAGGGGGAACCATATCCGGGTGACCTCTCTCAACTTGAAAACAACCTTTAACCTCTTTGCTTGTTTGGACCTTCACTACACATTAACTGCTAAATAATAAGCACTCACGAAGTAGTCATCACACTTAGGACCCGGGTTGACATTAAAACCCAAATCCGCTATACTACACTTTAGGAGGTGGTTAAACTTGGCCATTTTCTAGAGTGACGGTAGGAGCGAGTCACGTTTTTGGCGCCGTTGCCGGGAACAGCTAGGTTGTTGAGGAAACGTGATTTCTGTTAATTTAGCTTTTCTTTTTAGCATTGTTTGTTTGCTTTGTCCCACTCGTGCCTTCACGGGTTTGCTGCTTGACTGTGTGCAGGTAGTGCATGACCCGTAGCTAGTCGGGAGGTTTACTGCCATTGGATCCGGAGTTTGAACTAACTTGTCGCCAACTTAGGAGACAACAACGAGCTAGACTGGCTACGGAGGAGCGCATAGACGGCCACTTGAGCAGCGATTCTGAGGAAGAGTACGAGATGGACGGTGAACATAACCCGCCCCAGGGGATACCTCTCCAAGTTCCCCCAATGAATCAGATCATGGGGAACAACCCAATACCCCAGGCAGATGGGGTTCAACATCAACCACCGCCGCCGGGTCCCACCTTGGAGTATTATTACACTCCATGGGTCGCTAATATCCGCCCTGTCATCCTCTATCCGCCCATTCCAGCGAACAACTTCGAGATCAAGCCATGCTGGATTCAACTCATTACATCCTCTATCCAGTTTCATGGCTTGAAGGATGGGGAGGCAAGGGTGCATCTTTCCCGTTTCCTGCAGCTAACGAACGGGTTCAAGATGAATGGTGTACCCGATGATGCGATCCGCCTTCACCTCTTCCCCCATTCTCTGGTGGGGCATGCAAAGAGGTGGTTGGAGATCCATCCCCCATTGTCCATTACTTCTTGGGACGATCTGACCAACAAGTTTGTGCACTGGTACTATCCGGCATCGAAGACTACAAAGATTCAGCGGGATATCACTCACTTCCGCCAAGAGCCAGATGAGTCGCTTCGTGATGCATGGGAGTGGTTCTCGAGATTTTTCTGGCAGTGTCCCCATCATGGCTTCAATGATACATTCACCGTGGGGAACTTCTACAGTGCTCTCTCTCCAGAAAGCCAGAGGGTGATTGAGTCTCTATGCCCAGGAGGGGATATTCTCACAAAGACTCCACCTGAACTGAACCAGATGATCAGTACCTTGGCTGCCAGAGATCATTCCTGGGGGCATAGCACTAGAGGCAGGAATTATCGGGATCATGGTGTGCATGCCATGGAGGCCAGGTCTGGGCTAGAGCGGGAGGTGGCCGAGTTGGTCCAGACATTGAAGCAGCCCAACAGTCTTATTCCGGGCAGAGGTTTGGCCGGACCTCCAATAGCGCAATGTCAGTGGTGTGAGAGCTCGAACCATCTGGTGGAAGACTGCCAAGCTATGCGGGAGTCGTCTATACCCCAAGAGAAGTTGGACTTCATCGCCAATGCTCGGCGCCTTGATCCATATAGTGGTACATATAATGAAGGTTGGCGCCAGCATCCCAACTTCTCCTGGAATACTAGCAACACCACCAATCCACTTGGTTTCCCAGCACCAGCGGGTGGTTTTCAGTAGAGGCAGCCTTTCCAGGCCATACAGGGGCGAGTTCCACAGTAGCAGCCTTACCAGCCTAGGCAGGGACGGCCATTCCAGCAGCCGCAATGCCAATATATCAAGCCAGTAGCAGCTCCAGCTCCAGATAATCAGATGACCGAGCTGAGAAACATTTTAGCTGCATACATGACTACCAGCTAGGCCAATTTTGCCAGGATTGACTAGAACCTTGCCTCGCTGGAGGCAGATAAGAGGAACCAAGGTGCCATATTGCTGGACCTCCAGAATCAGATTAGAGGGATAGCCCTCCAGAATAATACCAAGGCACCGGGAATAACAAAAATTCATTGAAGCGCGATTCTGTCATTTCAGTTTTCCGTTTTCCCATATGCTCACGAGCTGCTCTCCGACGTCTCCTTCGGTTGCTCTCTCCCTGTTCTCGCTAATTTTCCATCTGCATCAAGCGTTTCCGTTTGCGGCTTGTGGATTTCCTTCGCGCGATTCCGTTTCCTCCGTCGGCGAAGTGAATTTCGAGGTATGTCGGTGATTTCCTCCGCTAAACTGTCTTCTCCTCTGTCGTCAGTTTTGGCCTCCGAAGTCGCCGTTGTCGTTTGGCGTCGCCGGAGTTCCACTTGTATGGTGTTAGTTTGGCGTCGCTGTTGTCGTTTTCGTTAGCATTGTCGTTGCTTGCTGCTGCTATTGAATGTATAACTGTCGTTTTCATGTTTGCTCTCTGTTACTTTCGTTTTCCACTTTTTGGCGATGTTTTGACGCATCCAGTCTAAATTTGTTGTAGGAGACGAGGAAATTTCATACTTGTGCGTTCTGGTTAGGTTTTGTGCATTCTGGTTAAGTTTTGTTGAATGTTTTAGGGTTTCTATGGTGTGCTTTGCATGTTTTAGGGTTTCTGGTTTCTCCTGAGTCGTTTGTGGTGGTGTTCAGTAGTTTTGTTGTTTTGTTCTTATTTTTGGTGGTGTGCTTTGTGTTTGGTGACAGTTAGGATGTTTGTGGGTTTGATTGGGACCTTTCTGGAGGTTTTTAATGAAACTATTGTGTATTTCCAGGCTGCTGTTGGTGGTTCTTTTAAAAGGTTTTGTGGTTTGTGTTTCGGATTTCACAGTTTGGTTTAGGAGATTTACTGGTGTGCATTTGCAGTTGTTGTTTGTCTCCTTTACATCTGATTATTGAGTCGTTTGTGGTGGTGTTCAGTAGTTCTGTTGTTTTGTTCTTTATTTTGGTGGTGCGCTTCGTGTTTGGTGACATTTAGGGTGTTTGTGGGTTTGATTGGGGCCTTTCTGTAGGTTTTTATACAACTATGGTGTATTTCCATGGTGATGTTGGTGGTTCATTTGCAGTTGTTGTTTGTCTCTTTTAAATTTTATTATTGGATTGTTTTCATGGTTGTACAGTTTGCATTAGGCCCTTGATGGTTTGCATTTTATATGTTCTGGTATTAGATTGCTTATGTTGGTTAGTGTTTTGGTTGCTTTGTAGGCATGGCACCTGCTAAGAAACGTGAAGTAAAGGGGAAACAAAAGGAAAAAGTTCCAACACCTAAGCGAGAGAAAGATGGTGTTTCTCCTGTGCCTGGAAAGCCGGATAAGAGGCATCGCAGTAATACTAATCGTATTCTTGCCATCATGGATGCTGACAGTACAACTGAAGAAAAACTGCAGATGCTTGATCCTCTGGGTTTTAGGGGTGTGTCGAGGGTTAAGCTTACGAGACTCCCGGATAATTTTACTGAATGGCTTTGCAAAAGTTTTGATGTCAGTTCAAGGTCTTTCCCGCTGCTTTGGTCAGGGAAGTTTAGAATTGGAGAGGCAGATGTGGAGAGAGTCTATGGTTTGCCGCATGGACCGTATGCTGTTAAGCTGGATATGTTCAGTGCAGCCCAGAGGCACAAGTGGGGAATTGAGTTAGGGCTTTCCAATACTAGGAAAGGAAAGGCGACATTGGCGAACGTTAAACTGGTATTGGAAGAGGATAAGGACAATAAGAAGTGGAGGGATCTTTTTGTGCTGTATGCAATGGAGGCAGTTATGTGCCCCAGTGGAAATTTGAAGATTGACCTCTCATATGCTGGGTTTTTGAAAGATGAAATGGTCGCTGACTTCAACAAATATAATTGGTGTAAGCATGTGGCTGACCATTTCAATGAAAGTATGGTTGAAGTGGTTCAATCAAAATCAAAGTTCCCTGGTGACGTTCATCTTCTTTTTGTAAGTAGATAAATATACCTCTTTTCGAATTTGGTTTACTATTTCATTTATGGTTTGTTTATTGACGAACGTGGTGTGGTTAAAGATGTTTATGGTTAGTTTAAGAATATTTATGGTTTGCTTTTTCCCCCCTTTGTTTTAATGTTTCTGGTATAGTTTATCATTTATGGTTTGTTTATTGACGAATTTGGTGTGATTGAAGATGTTTATGATTTGTTTAAAGCTATTTATGGTTTGGTTTTTCCCCCTGTTATAATGTTTCGGCAGTTTGTCATTTATGGTTTGTTTATTGATGAATGTGGTGTGGTTGAAGATGTTTATGATTTGTTTAAGAATATTTATGGTTTGCTTCCCCCCCCCCCCCTGTTATAATGTTTCTGGTATAGTTTATCATTTATGGTTTGTTTATTGATGAATGTGGTGTTCTTGAAGATGTTTATGGTTTGTTTAAAAATATTTATGGTTTGTTTTCCCCCTGTTATAATTTTCCTGGTATAGTTTATCATTTATGTGGTGTGTATTATAATCTTTCCGGCATAGTTTGTTTGTGGTTGCTTGACTTCTGTCTGTTTGTATATGTGGCAGATTTTGATTCTTGACCGTTTGAAGAACCCCTCTGAGCTGCCATTACCGACCCGTAGGCACAGGTCGTACAAAGTCGCAAGTGCTGCTTTTCAAGTACTGATGGACGAAGGTCATCTCTCTATTGGTCATCGAGAAGTAGTGGCGGAAGAACAAGCAACCTCCAGTCAACCAATGGGACGAGGACGTGTGAAGGGTACAAAGAGGAAAAGGCCGATAGATGATCTTGATATGGAGAGGGAAGGGGATCTTCCGAAGCTTCCCTATCTTGACATCAACTTGGATGGTATTCATTCGGTTGAAAAAGTGAGTATTTTTGTTGTGTTATTCGTTTTATGGCTTTCTTTAGCATACTTTCAGTGTGCTTTAAAAGGATAGTGGTTTGCATTAGTTTGTTTACGAAATACTTTATTTTATTCATGTGCTGGTTAGTTGTGTTTTCTGTTGTTTGTTCTTTGGCTTGCTTTAGTGTACTTGTGGTTTCTGTTAAAAGAATGGTGGTTTGCATTACTTCGTTAAAGGAATACTTTATGGTACTCATCGTTTGGTGGTGTTTTTTTGTGAGAATTCAAACATATGTGGTTTGTATACGTGTGTCTTAGGTGTTCATTAAAAGGAATGCGAGATTCTTTAGAAGGTTTATGGTTTTCTTTTGGGCTGTTTTCGTGTTTTTGTAGGCATATCAGTTGAAGAGTGACATGGAAAGTTATAAGAGAGCTTTGTTGAGGATGGCTACTCATTACAGTTCGAGCATTGAACAAGTTGATGAGCATATAAAGATGCTAGAGGGGCAGCAACCAGAGGATATTCCTGAAGATAATGTCGATTTCACTGATAGTGTTGAGGATGTTGCTGTTGGTAAGGGAACCAATGATGTCGGTCGCAATGCAGATGCTGCCAATGCAGATGATGAGACCGGTGCTAACAGAGTATCAGATCCAAAGTCCCCGGGTCTTGATGATTTGTCAATGGAGATGGATAAGGATGGTGCTTGTACTGCTGATGGTGTGTCGCCAGATGTTGGTCACAATGATCCTGCTGGCACTGCTAAGGTAGTATCAGATCCGAAGGGGCTTGATGATCATCTTGATAATCTAACAATGGAGATGACACAAAAAAGTGTTGATTCTGAGAATGCTAAGAAGGTGATGGACAGCTATGAGGAAAAGGGACAAGGTGATGATGGAGATGACAATGTTGATGGCGTTGACGCTGCTAAGTTGGATAACTTGGTTGAGAAGGTCATAAAGGTATTTTTACTGTTTTGTGTTTGAATATTTGTGGTGTGGATTATACTGTATTTGGTTGGTTTGTCATGTCTTTTGTAGTAGGTTGTTTTGCATTTGTTAGTAGTGTGGTTTACATATATATGGTTTTGTTAAAAACTTTTGTGGTGTGGTTTCTATAGTCTGCTATGGGGGATGTTCGTGAAGATGTGGTGGTTGATGAGAAAAGGAAAGAAGTTGATGCCGGTGAGGTGCTTGAGGATGGTGATGATAAGATTTACCATTGAGTCAGCTAGTTGAGAGTGTTAGGAAGGGAAAGGTAATTTGTGTACAATGTTTCAGTTTTGGTTTGTTTTTGTAGTATGGTTTATCGCATTTGTGGTTTGTGTTAGTTGTTTTTTGTACTGTTTTATCTAATTTGTGGGTTGCTTTAAAAATCAGAAAAAATTAAAAGTGAAGAGTGCAGGAGGCTCATCAGGTGTTGATGATGATGTGTTGAAGGGTGCTGTGTTGCGATATGCAAGGGATTCGAATAACTTGTAAGTTAATGTGTATAGATTTCATACATATGTGGTTGTTTGTATATATTTTTATATATAGTGCTTATTAATACTTTTCTAATGCCGACTGTTTTGTTTGTTATGGAATTATGAAAAATAGGAAGGAACTCCTTTTCAGTCGTGTTGATGGATACGATTGCTTGTATAGAAAGGACACATAGACTTTGGCACATGGGCAATGTGTGAGTGTGGATGTTATTGACTGCTATGCTGCCTATCTGAATCGGGAGCAAGTGAGAAGAGGGCAACTGAAAAGATGGGTGTTCTATTTAGGGTTTTTGTGGTGTACATTATAATACGTCTGGTTTGGTTTAAGGTTTTTGTGTTGTGCATTATAATACGTCTGGTTTGTTTTAGGGTTTTTGTGGTGTTTATTATAATACGCCTGGTTTGTTTTAGGGTTTTTGTGGTGTGCATTATAATACGTCTGGTTTGTTTTACTGTGTTTACGTTGTGTTCTACCTTGTAGCAAAAAGTGCAAACGATAGTGAAAGAGTCTGGACCACTGCCTAATTTTTTTGAAGAGACTGGCAAAATCATTACAAGTTGCAAGTGGATACCAGATGGTGTGGACTTCTCACAATGTGATTATGTATGTATTTTTTTAGTCACATTTGCTACATTGTTTCATGTGTTTTTTTTCTTCATTGTGCTTTTGAAGTACTGACTTGTTTTTGTTCTGTAATATGCAGTGGATGTTCCCTCACTGTTCTGATGAACACTACAGGATGTATGTAGTGAATCTGAAGAACAAACGGTATGATT